TTTTTTTTTATAATTATTAATTTAACAAAAAAAAAAAAAAAAAAAGCGAAATCACGTTAAAAGTCCGTACTTTGAAACATTTGATAAAGAAAGGAAAACCTTCATTTCAGAGGGTTTAGTCTCTTCTCCAAAGATACAGTTAGCAACTCCTCTGTGGCGCGCTAGGGTTTCTGATTATCTCTCATCGTCTTCCTCCATCTATCGCTTCCCCGCCAGCACGACGCCATGGATAGGTACCAGAAGGTCGAGAAGCCCAAACCTGAATTACCTATTAACGAAAATGAGATCCGAATCACTACTCAAGGCGCCATTCGAAACTACATCACATATGCCTCTACACTGCTCCAGGTATTTCCTCTTCCCATTCAATCTCCTCTACTCTTTACTCCCATCATCTGATTGCATTTCACAATGTCCGCTTGCTGATTCCTTTTTTTTTTTTTTTTTCCTCCCTATTTTGTGTGTGTGTGGCAATGCTGTGTCCGTTCTGTAGGATTCGGTTCGTTTTTTTCAATTTGGAACTGTCTGTGCGTCAATCGATTCGGGCTGCTAGGGATTTTGTTCTTAGTTCTCGATTATTCGATGTTTCTGGGGTTGCCTGTGTAATTTTATCGATATGTTAATTCGTGTATTCTTCTAGGTATTGGGAAGAACTTCATTAATTATCACTTATAGTTTAGTCACGAATGATGACAAAATATTGAATCACATTGAATATTGCTGTTCTTGGAACTTATTCAGGAAAAACGTGTCAGAGAGATCGTCTTAAAAGCAATGGGACAGGCAATCAGTAAAGCAGTGGCTATTTCAGAAATTATAAAGGTTTATTTCCCTAGAATATGCGTGCGTTTGAGTTCAAATGTTGTGTAGCTCGTAATTGATTAGCTTTGCGTATTCCCAAAACAGAAGAGAATACCGCGGTTGCATCAACTAATAGCCATCAGTTCAGTTAGCATAACTGATGTATGGGAACCGATTGAAGAGGGTCTTGTACCGTAAGTTTTCTTAATCTTTGCCTTCAGATTTAATTGTATAACAAAGAATTGAGAACCTGTTTGTGTCTTAGTTGATTTGCACTCAGTCTATATGCGTCGCACTACTTTGTTGCATGTTCTATGGGTTTGTACTATGTAGCTTACTCCTTTAGACGTGCACAAAATAACTTCTAACATGTCACGCAGGGTGGAGATGACTCGTCATGTCTCGATGATTTCAATTACATTGTCCAATCGAGAGCTAAATAAAAGTTCTCCAGGGTAAGTTGCTGTATTTTTGCTGATTCTGCAATTTGGTATAAAATGTGGGATTTTAGCTACTTTTCTTACATATTTCATGTTGTTTCTTCATGCATGATTATGAAATAACTTTTGTTTGTAGGTATCAAGCTCCATACTTTGTGGAACAGCCAAAGCAACAATATAACAATCAACAGCAGCCTCCTCAACAACAACAACAACAACAACCACCACCCAGACAACATCGCATTTATCACAATGCTGTTAATGAAGGTGATTTCGACATTTTACCATTGGATCGTACGCTACCTTGTATAGATTTTTACATATTTTTGGCATTTTTGCAGATCCATATGGCCAAGGGAGAGGACGTGGTAGAGGGAGAGGGCGCGGTTGGGGAAGAGGTGGATATGGAAACTACCAAGGTGGATACGGCAACTACCAAGGTGGATATGGCCACTACCAAGGTGGTTACGGCCAGTACCAAGGTGGATCTGACAACTACCATGGTGGATCTGGATATTATCAAGGTGAATATGGAATTATCAGATAGTTTAGATTGAAGCATGTTCTAAAGTGTTTACTGGATTGCAATAGCCTTCATACTGTTCTGGAGTAGGATTTTTAAATTTTGTGAGTTTTATTCATCATAGATAATGGGAACTATCAAGGTGGATATTCGAATTGGGGAAGAGGAGGTGGGCGGAGTAGAGGCGGCTGGGCTTATCGCGGTAAGTTTCTTTCTCTAATTTCTCCGCACATTGCAAAAATACAAGCCAAATCTGTCCTTGAGTTGTCTGTAGGAATGTTTTGAAAATTATTGCACTGCGGTGACTTGTTAAGTTTTCTTCAAAATCATAGCCAGTAATGAAGGTGTATGTAGCTCTATAATGTTTGCGAAATGCTCATGGGAACAAGGCGTTTCAAGCGATTATTTTCTTCCTGCAGGAGCTGGATACGAAAGAGGCAGAGGAGTAGGGGGTAGAGGTTATGGCCGTGGACGGGGGCGAATGGGCGGTCGGGCAAGGGGCAGTGGTGGAAACCAGGTTTAGTCGAAACATATTCGTTTGTTCTTCGTGCCTCTTACTTGAGCTAAATGCTTGCCTTGGCCAGTGGGATGAACTATCACATATTTGTTGTTGATAGCTTGGAATTCGGTTTTCACAATTTCCAGCGTTATTAGGTGTTAGCGTATTTTTCTTTATAGATAATGTGGGAATGCAGCATTGTATTTGTGGGGCAAGGTTGTTTTTTGGTTCATGTTTTTGCATTTAGCTGAAGAGCAATCAATTTATTATTACTTATGTAATTCGTTTTATTCTTATCTCTTCTCCAATATTCAATACTCTTTATTTTCGAGCCAACAAAAGCAAACTTAAACTAGTTAAAGATATATTCACGATCAAGAGGTCAAGTAGTTGATGTGAAAATACCAAATTGCCCCCAAAATACCTTGAAATAACAATTTGATCCACTAATGGGCTTGTGTAACACATGTGGATTAGGTGCTTTGAGAGTACTAAAAATATTTTTACACACCTAATGCCTACCACAACTTCCAAAACAATGAACGAAAAAGTGACACGTAAGTGAAAAAGAACGACAAAAGTTGGTCGTCTTTTCAGCATTTGGTTGTCCATTCAAACATTTATTATAGCAAACTATAATGTGATAGCGACCTAACATCATTAAATTGTCATTTTGTAAAAACTACTCTTACCATATAAGTCTAAAGTTGCATTCACTTTTTATTTGTTAAAAACACAGAAGTTCGGTTAAAAACACAAAAGTTCAGAAAACGAGATGGGGAATGAGTTCCTCGTCCCCGTTGGGTGGATTTTTTCTACCCTCTCCCTCGCTCATTCCCTACCTGAATGGAGTGTTTCCGCCCTATTAAGAACGGACGTTGCATCCCTAATTATGAACCAATCAGGTCAATGCACTCGTAGGCCCTTATCATGGGACCCATCCACATTCATCCAAGTGTAGGGCTCAAGCAAGGGTCACATGGGCCAAGCTATGCAGTGATCTCAAAATGAAAAAAATTATTCAAAAAACCGTCGCAAAATATTTGTCTCTTAATGAGTTTGCACAATGTGTTTATGTTTTAATATTTTATTTTGGCATCTTGTGTTGTTTATAAATTACTCAGATCACATGCCACCTCTCTTACACTCATTGCTTGCTTATCTTCAGCATCTTCCTTAGATTCTCATTCCAAAAATTTCTCTCTGTATTCATTTTCCCTCACAGCCTTTCTCAGTGAACACAGGGAATCTTCAGCAAAGGGACAGCACAGCCAGATCTCTAAGCCCTTTCCCTTTTGACCCAAAGTTTGTCACCTTTCTTCGACATGTGCAAAACCCCTTTTAAAGGAACCTCCTCCTACCAATCACACCCATGCAGGTACCACTTTCAAACACCTTTGCTCTGTAGAAGTTCCTAAAAATGATGGCTTTTCTCTCTGTTTTTTCTGTTAAATCTTAATGGATTATTTGTTGTTTTGATGCATTGCAGCAACTTCTTCAATGGGTTTTCAAGGAAACTAACGAAAAAGATGGGCATAGGACTTCACATTCCACCAAGAAGGGAGCAAGTTGGGGTAAGAGAAAAACTGCACACTACCTGTTTGATAAAATGTCTAAGTGGTAGTGATTTGTCTTGAGAGTCATGAATGTTTAACTTGAATCTGCTAGATCAAAGGAGATAGTGGTGTCTAGTCCAAGAACTGAGGACTTTGATAACATGCAACAATATTGGATCCAAAAGATGATAAACGAAGATATTGCTAAGGGAATGAGAGAGATTGGTCAAATGGCAGATTCTCCTTCTGTTCATGCAGGCACCAAAGTCTTGCCAATCACTGATACCACTTTAGTAGAGCAATGCAGCAAAAAAGAAGTTATCTCCAATGGGGAGACTAAAACCAAAGCCAAATCAAGAATGAAGGAGCTTTTGAGATGGGCTGTGGCTTCAAAATCAAAAAAAGGAGGAAAGTTCATCACTGACAAGGTGATTTCTTAACTTCTTAATAACCTGCCCTTGTTTGGATATTGGATTAGATCATTTGCCTCTTGAACTACCACAAGCTTAAGCTCATAAGTTAAGATACTATTCTCGACACTCTTGTTAAGTTTGGACTTGGGGATTAGCATGATTCGAAGAATCGAAAACGTGAACTATACTAGCTTTGGTCGAGAGGAAGTGATATTGCAGGGATTTGAGCTTATGGCTCTAGCTATGATATAATTTTAAATTGCTACCGAACTTTTGAGATCCCACCTCGGTTGGGAGGAGAACCAAAGCATTCTTTATAAGGGTGTGGAAACCTCTCCCTAACAGACGCGTTTTAAAAACCTTGAGAGGAAGCCCTGGTGTGGGAATCTCTCCCTAGTAGACGCGTTTTAAAAACCTTGAGGGGAAGCACTCGTTTGAAAATCTCTCCCTAGCAGATGCGTTTTAAAAACTTTGAGGGGAAGTTCTGGTGTGGAAATCTCTCCCTAGCAGTCGTGTTTTAAAAACTTGACAGGAAACCCGAAAGGAAAGCTCAAAAGAGGACAATATCTGCTAGTAGTAGGTTTGGACGGTTACAAAACCCAAAACTTGAACTCATGGGTCTCAACATATTTTATTTTCTTATAGGTTTTTTCTATGTTACTAAATCAATAATTAATGGTGACTGTGATTTGTATCCATGCTGAACATGAAAAAAACAAGAACACTAGCATAACTATGTTTTGCTTTCTGATGGTTTATACAGTCTTATTTCACAGTCAATAAGTTTTCTGTATTTGAAAGCTATACACATTACTGAATGGCTCAAAATTATGCAAATTCTTTCAGGTATCACGAACACGAAACCGAGAAGCTCCTGGCCGGGACGATGATCAAGCGAGCAACGACTCCCGCAAGGTCAGTTTCAGATGGGAAGCTGAAAGACGCTCCTCCGTTTCCTCAACCTACTCATCGGTATCGCGAGTTTCCTCCTTCAAGAACTGTTCCATTACCCTTAATTCCACTGCCATTGAAGAAATCAATCACTGTTGTCCAAGAAAAGGAAGCTGGATCACTACAGATTCTGAATGTAAGGCTCTAAAACTGACTTATATGAAAATTATTATGAAACAAAAGCATGAGGAACTGACTGAATTCCCTTCTCTACCTTGAAATGGACAGTTGTTGTGCTTGAGCTGTGAAGGAAGAGGAAGACAGATTATCAACTGTTTGATCTACTTGCAATCTGTGAATTGTCAGAGGATTTTTATGTAAATTTTTTTTGAAGTATCTGAAAGAACATGCATCTGAAGTAAACATTTTGAATGTAATTCAAACCATCATCTAACAAGTTTTTAGTGTAAGAGGGTAACTGAGCCTCGCATCTGCCTTTCCTTTTCGCTACGTGAAACTTTTCGGGTTTTCGCAGGTCGAGATTGAGATCATAACAGGCATCTTAGGACAACTGAGCTTCACATCTGCCTTCCCTTTTCGCTACGTGAAACTTTTCGGGTTTTCGCAGGTCGAGATTGAGATCATAACAGGCATCTTAGGACAACTGAGCTTCACATCTGCCTTCCCTTTTCGCTACGTGAAATTTTTCGGGTTTTTGCAGGTCGAGATTAAGATCATAACAGGCATCTTAGGACAACTGAGCTTCACATCTGCCTTCCCTTTTCGCTATGTGAAACTTTTCGGGTTTTCGCAGGTCGAGATTGAGATCATAACAGGCATCTTAGGACAACTGAGCTTCACATCTGCCTACCCTTTTCGCTACGAGAAACTTTTCAGGTTTTCGCAGGTTGAGATTGAGATCATTACAGGCATCTTAGGATAACTGAGCTTCACATTTGCCTTCCCTTTTCATTACGTGAATCTTTTCGGGTTTTCGCATGTCGAGATTGAGATCAAAATAGGCATCTTAGGACAAGTATCACTCATTTAGATGTTTCATTCTTTTCTTTTGAGTTCAAGCAATTTTGGCATTTCTTCTTTTCTGAAAATTTGTGAGAGAAAGACTAAACTTGCTTTACTTGGGAGGAATCAAAGAACCATTTTGGCATCTTTTTTAAATCACATCATACTGGCTTCAAAAGAAGCCAGCAACTCACAGAAACCATTGGGAAGCGATATTCATCAATGCTATCCTCGGTCGGAGATATTTGTGTGAGATTCCATGTCAATCGAAAATAGGAACAAAACATTTCTTATAGGTGTGTGAAAACTTCTTTTTAGTAGACGTGTTTTAAAATTGTGAGGCTAACAACGATATGTAATGAGTCAAAGTGAACAATATCTGCTACGGGTGAGCTTAGGACGATTACAAATGCTATCAGAGTCGGATACTAGGCAATGTGCCAGTGAGGATGCTGGCCCTCAAGGGGTGGATAGTGAGATCTCACATCAGTAGTGGAAGAGGAAAACAAAACATTCGTTTATAGGGGTGGAAATTTCTCCCTAGCCGCGTTTTAAAATTGTGAAACTGATAATGATAAGTAAGGGTAATAACTATAATAGTTTTGGTTCGTATACGGACAGTAAAGATATTTTGATTTTTTTTTTTAATTTAAATGTATTAATGAAAAATAATTTTCATCTAGTAATTTTAAAATAAATTATTAATGATTAATTATTCAAATAATTTGAGGCCCACAATCTAATGGTTGAAAAAATAAGTAAAATCTAAACCGTCGGTGCAGTTTACGCGCCAAATTTGCAAATAATGTTGCACCAAAAAAAAAAGAAAGGAAATTGTGGAACCTGGCGAACCGATTTCGTCTGTAGTTTAAAAGGAAAGTGAGAAAAATTCAGGGGTTTTAGCCTCCTTTCCCCCATTTCTTTCTTCCAGCTCAAAACCATACACAGACACTCACACTCAAGCTTTCTCCCCTTGCCCGTTAGGGTTCCTGATTTCTTCATCTTCTTCCCTCTTTCGCTTCCCGCCTTGCTGAAGCACTGCCATGGATAGATACCAGAAGGTCGAGAAACCTAAGCCTGAATCTCCGATAAACGAAAATGAAATCCGCATCACCAGCCAAGGCGCTATCCGAAACTACATCACTTATGCTTCCACCCTACTGCAGGTACCATATCACTGTTTCTTTGATTGATTCTCATTATCTATTGTATTTCATTTCGTCTTTTGTTGGAGTATCTTTGTTTTATTCTTTCTACTGATTTTTCGTAATGCTGAATCTGTCTTATGAGGTTAGGTTTCTGAGTGTGGATTGTGGATACATGAGACGTATTAGTCAAGTTTTAGGATATTTTCTTGGTTTCTATTAGTTTTTGCATTTTCTTTTTGTAATGTTAGTCGGCATTTGTTGAGTTGGTATATTGCTGGTGTATTGATTTCGTTTCTTCTACTTGTGACTTCTGAGGGATGTTTGCTCGCTGGCTGACGCTTTGCCGTAATTTGCATTGACTGTGAAAGTGTCTGTTAGTTTAATGCACGAGTTATGGTACATCGTAATCTGCGATAGCTCGTTAGATGTCATCAGTTATGTTTGATTATCTACAGTCCTTATAGTTTTTTCTTCTAATTTTTCGTGAATTTGTAGTTTCGGCATTATTTTCTTATAAGAAGAAAAGATACAGTTGAATCTATGCTTTATACTGTATTCTCAAATCGAGTTATTATGTTAAGTCATCGATCATGTGGAGCTAGGTGTTTCTGTATTAACTTGACGTGATTTTTGGCTCAGGTTTCTTCCGGTTGTATACATTTTTTCAATGTGTAAATTGACCGTCAAGATACATTACGTTATTGTTTTTCTTATAAAAAGAATCACATACACTACAGCTCATGTTATACAATGTAATATCATGGAGTTTGGTGTTTCTCTATTATATTGGCTTGATTTTTTGGATCATAGATTTTTTTCAATTTGTATATTTCTAATTTTTTATTAGAAGAATTTAATTATTAATGTTATTCATCGGATCAAGTTTAATGTTCCATTGTTATACGTGCAATTAGTTGATGATTTCAATTGCTATTTTTTTTATTCAGGCTAGACTTGGATTGCAAAGCTTAGCTATATTTAATTGTTTATTCAGACATATTTCTAAGCGTGTTGCTCAAGTGAGAATGTACCTTTTATGTTTTGGTTTAATATATCACATTTTTCACTCATCCAGGACAAACGTGTTAGAGAGATAGTCTTGAAAGCCATGGGACAGGCAATCAGTAAAGGTGTTGCCATTGCAGAAATTTTGAAGGTTTGAGTTCTTTACGTTCTGCAACTGTGCATGTTTAATATTTTATACTCAGCAGGCCAGTTTCATCCTCTAACAGAAGCGAACTCCACGATTGCATCAAGAAACTTCCATCAGCTCAGTGAGCATAACTGATGTATGGGAACCTATTGAAGAAGGTCTTATACCGTAAGTTTTTTAATATCTAGGATTCTCTGTTAATTGCCTAATAATGACCTATGCACTTCCTGTGGGTTGGTTTCTTTATGCTTGTATGCACAACTTTGCGTTGTGTGGCTTCGTACTCTTTAGTTTGCAATTGCAGATTTTCTTATTGCTGCGAGTATGTAGCTTTATCGTACTGTTCTGCAGATGTTTAACAAATAATCTCTGAGATATCTGCAGTGTGGAGATGACTCGCCATGTCTCAATGATATCAATTACCTTATCAAATCGGGAGCTAAATAAAAACGCTCCTGGGTAAGATAATCTAGTCCTTAATGTACTGCTTTCCATTTTTTGTGCTGAAGTTTCTTTACGAGTGTTTAAGAATAAAAAATGTTATTATTTGTAGGTACCAAGCTCCACATGTTGTGGAACAGCCAAAGCAACAATATAATCTGCAACAGCAACAGCAACAGCAACAGCCAAGACAGTCTCGTCCTTATTACAATGCTATTAATGAAGGTGATAGTTCAATCTGAAAACGATTTATTGTTTATTTGTGAAAATGTTATATCTTCCACCCTACATAGTGCAGCAACAATACATAAAAAAAAGGCATGGAAACAGAATCAAGAGAATTTAGAATTCTTGGGATCCACCATACGCCATTTCGTAAGTAAAGAAATCAAATATTTAAGGTTAAATCTTCTTGAGCTTCCAGTATCTCATTACCAACCTTCCCTTAAAAACAGGCGCCCAAACCCCCCGGGGGGGGGGTTGATCCCAGTGAATTTGGGCTTTGGGATGTTAGGGCAGGACTAGATGTTGGTTGAAGGTTTGAGATACTGGGTGGGAATCTGTAGGAAAGGAATCAGTTGATGTTACTGGAGAATAACGTAGTTTCATACAATAAGCACAAACCACACAAATCTCCACCCGAGATTGGCCACACCCAATCGATTCTAATTCATTGGGAAGGTCAAGTCTGTGCCTGGACAATCTATAAACAATGTTGAATGGAGACTGAACTATTAACTGTTGGATTATGGTTCTCTCATACTTGAACTCTGAGACATTCCTGCACATATAGCAGATCCATATGGCCAAAGCCGAGGTCGTGGTAGAGGGAGGGGACGTGGTTGGGGCAGAGGTGGATATGGAAACTACCAAGGAGGATATGGCAACTACCAGGGTGGATATGGAAACTACCAGGGTGGATATGGCAACTACCAAGGCGGATCTGGCAACTACCAAGGCGGGTCTGGTAACGGCTACCAAGGTGGATCTGGCGACAACTATCAAGGTGAATATGTTTTCCTCTTTCATTTTCATTCAAGCTAATCCTTGAGTACAGCCTAATATATAGTTTCTATTTTGTTGTCAACATAGATAATGGTGGGTACTCAAACTGGGGTAGAGGAGGTGGGCGAGGCAGAGGTTGGGCATATCGTGGTAAGTTTCTTTCACAACTTTCTTTTTCTTTTCAGAATCGTTTGTTGATTAGCGAGGCCAGGCAACTGTCATTTTGCTGACTTCGTTGATGTTTGGTGCCACCAAATTATTGTTAAGCTCTTGTGATCTTTACTTTTAAGATTTCTTAGAACAGAGAGATGAAACAATGATGTGGTTAGTATGGATCGAGTTAAGTTTGAATCAATTGCATTCCTTTCAGGATCTGGCTATGACAGAGGCAGAGGGGGTAGGGGTTACGTTCGAGGTCGGGGGCGGATGGGTGGACGAACAAGGGGCGGTGGTGTCGGTAGAAACCAGGCTTAGTTAAAAAGTTATTCGTTTTTTTTACTTGAGCTAAATGCTTTGCCTTGGCCAGTAAGATGCTTTTTATCTGAATATAATGTTTTTAATAGCGTGGAAATTTGGCTTCTTAGAGCGTTGTTGAGCAGTAATTTCTTCTTTTGCCTGTGGTAATGTGGTGGGCAAGGTTGTTTTTGTTTATGTTTTGCATTTAGCTTTATAAGAGCAGTCAGTTCGGTTCATTCAGTGTAATTTGTTTTTTTTTTACCCATACGTTTTCCCGTACCTAGCATCTTTTTGCTATTATTATTGTATTCTTTTCTACTTAGTTCATTTCTATTATTTCTTCGATTACACCCTTCCGAAAAATTAATCTTATTTATTTTGTGCCTTTCGAAGAAAAAAAAAAGAGGGAAAAAAAAAAGTAAATAAAAATGATTTAGAAGAGTCTAGATTCCAAATGAATGAAAACGTGAATAAATTGGTCTCGGTCACTTTTTGGGACGGAATGGAAGAGGATAGGAGATTTCCAAGAAAAATGATCTAATGACTTCGAAAGAATGAATGAATTGTGGGAATTTGATGTGATGAATATATCAAGTCTCAAGAAATTTAAGAAATATTAAAAGTGACCTTTTCGAATAAAATATAATATAATTTAAAATATAGGTAAAGTATAATATAATTCAAAATATAGGTATTATAGGTATTATTAAGTTGAGAGTTAGTTTTAAAACTTTGTAAAATGTGTAATAGGTCAATAAATATTTAAATTTTATTAAATAGTTTTTAAATTGAATTTTTAATTTTGTATTAGACAACTAAGTAAAAAAAGAATACACCTGAGATACATGAATAAATTAATACAAGTATTAAAGATACATTATTAAATCAATAAAACATCGAAATAAAGAAATAAAGTTATTATATATTACTAATAAGATATATATATATATATATATATATAAAAGTACAAAATATCCTTTAGAAAGAGTGAATAAATTCTAAGAATCATAGGTTTAAAAAAGAGGCTATTAAAAATATTCATTCAGACCAACCTTTTAAACCGCTTGAAGCATACGTGGCCTCGGCGTCATGGATTCGGATATCGATTTGGATCTCCCTCCAAATTCGTTCACACAGAAAACCTTGATTTTAATCGACCAGTTCGAATCACTCTGAAATTGCGTTCCAATCTATTATGGCGGGGAAGGAGAAGCCGATGATAATTACAGACAAGAACCAGATGAGGACATGGACGAGGAGCATGAGATCCCAAGGGAAAACCATTTCCCTCGTCCCCACCATGGGATTTCTTCACGACGGCCATCTCTCTCTAGTCCAAGAAGCTCACAAGCATGCTCAACTCGTCGTGGTCTCAATCTACGTAAACCCTGCCCAATTTGCCCCTTCCGAGGACTTGTCCACCTATCCTTCAGATTTCGACGGCGACATTCGGAAGCTCATGGCGGTTCCTGGAGGAATCGATGTTGTTTTCCATCCTCACAATCTCTACGACTATGGAGTCGAATCGGATTTGGATCGTGGCGCAAATGGCGGCGGTTCTGGTGGAAGGGCGGCGGATTCTTGCCTGGAGGAGTCTGGTTCAGAGCATGAGACATGGGTGAGGGTCGAGCGATTGGAGAAGGGGATGTGTGGGAGAAGTAGACCTGTTTTCTTTAGAGGAGTTGCGACCATTGTTACCAAGTTGTTTAATATTGTGGAGCCTGATGTTGCAGTGTTTGGCAAGAAGGATTATCAGCAATGGCGGGTTATACGCCGGATGGTGAGTCTTTACTTTCGTTTGTTTCTTTATGGGATTGAAGAAGGTCAATGGTTTGATTTTGACATAATTCATTATTTGTCATCTGAATTTCATTGCTCAATTGTTAGATTTATGAACTTTCTTTGCATTCATCTTGACAGAGAGTGCTAAATCTCCGCTGTTTGTGAGACTATCTGCAAATGTTAAACTTGTTTTAAAGGCATAATGATCAATCCCATTGATGAACTAGTAGCTTAAGTTCTCAATTATGTGCAAGAAAAGCACTTAGGAGGGTCGATTTGACACTAATTCAAGCTCAGAACTGATGGTTTGTTCTGTTTGCTAGCAATATAGCCTATAGGGTATGGCTTGAATTCATGACCCTTGAAGTTCATTAAGTTCTGATCTTGATAGTTCAAAAATTTGGGTTGGGCAGTCAGCCTCTTGGATGTTATATGTTTCTCTTAACTTCTTGGCTTATAATCGTTTGTTCTAGATTTCAGCAGTTATTGGGTTTATTACCACTGATGAATGATGATGATATTTCTCATGACTTCAGCTCTTTTGTAGGTTCGAGATCTTGATTTTTCTATAAACATTGTGGGGTCGGAAATCATGCGCGACGCCGATGGTCTTGCAATGAGTTCTCGCAATGTGAGGCTCTCACCTGAAGAAAGACAAAAGGTTTTCTCCATTACAGTGTCTACATATTGGCTTTGTGTCATTTATGAATGATAGAATGAGTAATTGGGTTCTGTCCATAGGCATTGTCTATAAACAGGTCGTTGTCAAAAGCAAAATCTGCAGCAGAAAGAGGTGAACTTAATTGCAAGAGATTAAAGAACTTGGTTGTGGAAGAAATAGAAGAAGCCGGTGGGCGACTTGATTATGCTGAGGTGAGCCCTCCATGACTTAAATTAGGAACTCTTTCAGACATGAGCCTATATTTAGTCGAGTTTAACGTTACTTCAACCGTTATTAACTGCAAAAATGATAGCGTTATTTTTCAAAAACACCTTGAAACTTGAAACAACAAAGCAAGTTCAGTGAGAGATTGTTTCATATGGTTGTTGTTGTTGTTGTTGGGAGCAGATTGTGGAACAAGAGAGTTTGGAGGTGGTGGAGGAGATAAAGAGTCCAGTTGTGATGTTGGTTGCTGCCTGGTTTGGGAAAGTCAGGCTCATAGACAACATGGAAATAAGCATTTGAAGATGTAATGCTCATATGTGTTTAAGCTTATCTTAGGAGGGGGTGGCTTCTGAATTATGGCGAAGTTTTTAGATGCATAGATTACATTCTAAATTATGCTAAGAAAAAAAAAAGATTACATTCTATTATATTCAAGAAACTTTTATTTTAAAGTTAATTTGATTAGGAATTAATATATTTGTGTGTGACATAGTAAATTATGTTAATATTATTGATTGATTCGAAATGAAAGTTATGTACACTTCCAATTTTTTACAACCAACCACCTTCTAAATTTGTCTTCTATTTTTATGAAAAAAGTTCCTCAATTTCATTTTTTTAGAGTAATTTTGAAGTTCAAAGGTTAAACTTTGTAAAGTAAAATTCTTTGTATTACAGAAATTTAGGCTTTCTAATGGACTTATGGCCTTGCACCAACATGCTGACAAGAAAAAAACACCAATCAAATGATTCGTTACCTTCTGTGGGTGGGACGATAAGTTTTGTAAAATCCAACAGGCATGAATGTTGGTCTTGAACCTATTCATCTCGGGGAGAAGCATAGGTAGGGCATGGGCAATAAAAGATCCTTTTCCTGAGCCGTGGTCCAGCGGTGTCGTTGCCACAAAAGCTACCTATATTATATGGGCATGGCTTAGCTAGTCGTTGGATTTACGTACTACAACAAATACCGGGACCAGTTGCAGCGTCGACTCGACAAGGTTTATCACAATTAGGTAAGAACTTAGTCAGTAGTCGAGTCAGGACACAGTAAACAACCCTTTGCATCCCTTACATTTCAGAAAATGCATGGATGAGGCTGTCAAATCTCGCATGAAATTGAACCAAAAAAAATGTGCCTAAACCATGTGTTATTCACAACCACGTGTTTATTATTATTTAGCAAACAAATGATCTACTTCCCTTTCAGAATGTCAAAAGAATATAACCACACAGCACAACCTATACAAAGCAGAGTCCTTAGGTATGTATGGATAAGAGAAACATGGAAACGAAAGATCTGTACAATAAACAAGCAACGTATGAAACTGTCCGAGTAAGCCTGATACCATCACCAACATCCTAATGCTGCAAGGGGGAGGATTCATCAACATTTGAAGCCCCCACAGACGGACAAAATGATTATCAGAATCAACGCAATTACGATCGCAAGAACTATCAGCTTTATCTTCATGTTCTGATACCACATCTTTCTCCTCATTTTGGTTCCTTGCTGCCTAAAATCTTGTGCCTGCGTTTAATAAAATTGTGTCAATTCATGGTAAGATTGTGTATTTCCTCTTTCGAAAACGTAATTCACTGTTTTTAAGACAATGAATTATGTTAAAGAGGGAGAATGTAAACCCCCACAATGTCAATAATCCATCGGAATTACAGAACCAACCCCATAGCTACATCCAGCATGATACTCCGACACGAATAAGCCAAAAGATTAAAAGAAAAATAAAACTCAAATGCTTTATGATGTTGGTGCCCACTCACACGTTTTGAATTCAATGCCCCTTTTCTTGAAATACATAGCATAGTAACAGATTCAATTTTTCCACAACTAGCAGAGTGTTGAGGCAAACAAATATGCTATATTTAAATGCTATTCATGAACTAAATTCCTCTAATTCATACATCTATACTCATGCATCATACAGAATAATGTATCATTTCTAGATCACCAATCATAATTTAGCTGGGACAAGCAAAAGGATCTGACAGTGACCTGAGATCGAAGGTTTTCTGTCTTATCCACCAGAAGCTCAATCTTCTCTCCACGATCAAGAACCTGTTAAAAGAACAATTAGGAAGTAGTCACAATATTTGCATATCCATCAACATAAAATACAATCGAAAATTAAATCAGATAAAATGCTACAAGAACAGAGGAAGGCATTTCCCTAAATTTGGAGATCGAAAGGAAAGGAGGAATGCAATGGCCGTAGGTAGTAGGCGGTAGACAACAAAATTTCTTTTACCTTCTCAATGTTCTCCATCATTACTCCTTTGACTTCAGAAACCTGTGCTTTCACTTTGGCAAGCTTACTGATCTCCTCGGGGTGCTCCACACAATACTGCATATGCTCCTTCAGTTTAGACCTACATAAAAATTATAGTTATTGGAATCAAAATCCTGGTAATGCTACATTCGTTCTTACATATATATAGTGTTAGATAAGAAATAAGGGAGCATTTATTTAATAATTCCCAGGTCCGTACCCAAATTCTTTGTTCAGGCTATTGGCAGTTGCTGTCATGGCCTTCCCACCTCCATATCTCTTCACGAAATCCTCACATACTCGTTCAAGGAATGCAATAGGGATCTGTCTGCCAGCAGCATCAACTGCAACCACACAGTAAGCTGCAAAGTGAAAGAAATGGAATCGATTAGATTTACTCATGTAAGTGTAGAAACAGTAAGGGGGATGAGAAAACACAGAGGTCTTTAGGATCCAAATTCAGTCGCTCAAGAATTTGAAGCATAGTCTTTCACGTGGAAGCACAAATATATCGATGTATATGTTTTATGATTAGATAATACAACTTTATTGTATTGCATGCTTTTCCAAAACTAGACAATCTTGTTTCATCCAAAACAAAATAATCTTGTATTGTATGCCATTTCGTCATCATATACAGAGGCGGTTGTAGTTTCAAGGCTCTAGAAACATCAGTATGATGACCGAGTATTCGAATATCACGTCTGCAACAGTTATTTCGCATTAACAAACTCAAGAAACAAGTTCGAAAAATAAAACCGAAATAAGTCTCCACAACCAGTTAATAAAACGATGTCCAAGTTGAATATTTAAAGAACTCGTTCAAGAATCGACCAAGGAATTTTCACGATCATGCTTTTAGATACATAAAATCTTTCAAAATGGAATGATAGTTATAGAACTGGATCCTCCATTAATGATCTCAACAGCGTATTACTAAACGATTCTTAAGACAGTAGTTTCCTATAACAACGCGAAAGCCTTTAACACAGCAGACAAGAATCGCATCCGAGGCAAATATCGATACAAAAACACACTAAAACTGACGACAAGAATCAGAAAGAATCGCATAAACATACATACATAACAGTAGTTCAGATATAGCAATAAACAATCAAGAGACAAAAGCCATGAAAACCGTATGAAAAAGGATGCAATCGAAGTAAGTATTGAAGATGAGACGGAGAAAGTTACTGAATCCATCATCGACGAGATAGTTGAAGGTATGTCCATCGCAATTGTAAGTGAACTTGTTGTTGGTGGCGGGAAGCTTCTGGAGGCACTGCGAGGCTATAGTGGTGAAATTCCCGGTGAACTCCGTGTACTCTGCGAGAATCACAGTACCGCGCGCAACAAAGCTGTAGATCAAGGATTGCTGCTCCATGGAAGAAGATGAATCTTGCCCTAAATGATACCAGAGGAGAGGGAAAATGGATAGAATAAGAAGGCTTCGCTTCAATGGGAAGCTCGAAAAGTTGGCATGACTGCGTTCTGTGAGTTAGTTGTAGCTACCCTCGATCGCATCAAAAATAACGGAAATGCCACGCTACATTTTTAAACAAAATTAACTTATAATTAACCATTTTTAGAAAAAAAATAATAAATTAAAGTATGATTAGCATGACACTTTTAGTAATTTAAGATATTTAAAAATATTTTAAAACAAATTAATTAACAAAAAATGCATTAAAATTAAAATACTTACAAGATATATTACTAAAAAAGGTATAAATATATATTTATTGTTTTTCAAACAATATGATGACGTGGAAAGTTCGTTTCGACACGCAAAACGCGGCAAATATGATTTTCAACCTTGGCTAATTAAACGCAGCGTTTTGACCGCTAAAAAAATTTGGTGACTTTATAATTAAAAATTAATTCATTTTTACATTTTAAAATTAAAATAATTAATATTTGATTAGACAGGTGTGAATAATAATAATAATAATAATAATAATAATAAAAGTATATCACGTGGTAAATAAGATATATTTTTAACTTGCCTCAATTGGTCCAACTTGAGATTAATTAAGAATTTAATATAGAAATTAAATGTTATAAATGTAAAATTAGTCAATAGGCATATATGCAGATTTCAAAGTGGGGAAAGAATAAAGAGATTTAATATTAATATGATATGTGAATATTTATATGGCTGGAAAATTCATATTCTATATATATTATACGCTTTTTTTTTAATATTTGATTCTTTATTTCAAAATTAAAAATGCTCCTTTTTCTTCCTTTTCCCATCCGACAAAGGGAACTCGACTTACCTTTGTTTATTTTTTGTTTTTACTTTAAAAAATGGCCGACCATTTTTTAATATTTATATATATATTTAATTTGTTATTTTTCTTTTCCTTATAAATATATAAATAAATGTTAATTATACTTTTTATGTAAGTCGTACATTCCAAAAGCATGAATATTATATTTTTATTCAACTATGAAATTGGGGATATTACAAAATTGGATTAAAAAATTAAAATTATAATGGGGTGAGGTAATTTGCATTTCCACATTTAGCAATTATCAATTTAAACACATTTTTTTAGTTATTATTATGATAAATAAATAAATATATATATATATATATTGCAAATATAGCTCGTCTTATGTCACAATCCTATTATGAATAGAGTAGCTTGTGATGCTCGCGTCGAGATAAAGCAAAGTGGTGACCCTTAAGTGACACCCATTTAGCTATGCGAAGACCAATATAGAATAATGTAATGATGCGATTGAAGATGATGGTGCATCATCCAACACAACAGTATAAACGTGTGCATTGAGGAGAAACGAGACATAAACAAGATAGGGACAATGAGTTTGTCGTGAGCATGTTAAGATCACAACACTACACAATTGAAAAAATACGACCGTGACACTATGGACATGTTTTAACGACTGCATAATTTATTTTTAAAAAAAATATAATATTAAAATAACAACCATAATAAAATTATTATCACTACATTAGAAAAAAAATGGTAAATATGAAATTTATTGTTATAAAGTTAATTTTGCAAAATTTATAAGAAAAAAGTATATAATAAATTAATTAAAAAAAACATATATATAGAAGAAATTGTAAATGAAAAATAGGTTATGAGTTGAAAGGGACAATGGAGGGGATGATAATAGGACCACTGATGATCCAAAAGAGTGAAAAGGAGTTAATGGTAATTAACCATTGTTTGGTTCATTTCAGAATTTCAGCACCTTTCCATTTAATTCACACCCGCACGTCAAGTTAGCTTTGGTTCTCAGACAAATTTAATGTGCATCGAATTTCAAATCTTCTCTGTTTTTCGCTTTGCCCCTTTTTTCTTCTCTCCTTCTTTCATGGGTATTTGAACCCTTCAAATCTTTTTCAGAGGCCTAATTTTCTTCAGATCTTGCATGGCCACAGCAAGCAGTTCAAGTTCGCCAAATTCTTCTAGTTCTCGTAATTTAATTCCATCTCTTACTCTTCTCTTTGTATTTCTCACTGCTGTCGTGCTCGGCAGCCCTTCCATGGCTGCCTCGGAGTCGCAGACACGTCTAATTCCACATTCCTTGAACAATCCGCCGCGAAAACATAGGTTGGAGTCGGAATCTGGCGGCCGAAGACCGAGAGACGATCGTCCACTTGAATCTGCGGTTTTCGAGGTTACGAGCGGAACGAATCATGTTTTGAACAATCCGCCGCGGAAACAGAGGTCGGACTCGGAGTCCGGCGGGCGAGGGAGGAGAAACGATCGCGATTCCAACAGTCCGCCGCGGCAACAATCGTTGGACAAGAAATCCGGCGGCCAGCGGAGAGACGATAGTCGATTTGAATCTGCGGCGCACGAAGTTCCGAGCGGGCCGAATCCTATTTCGAACTAGTTGAAACATAGCTTCGTCAATCGGTGCGGTTTGAGCGGATATCTTGAAGTCTTTTCTCTCTGTAAATTAATGACGCTGGAGGTTTGGTATTTGACTTGCGCTGAATTTTCATCTTCCTGTAGATGCGGATTAACGATTGAGTTCGCCATTGAAGCTTCTCTCGTACACTGCTCTGCATCTCCATTTTTAATCTTCCTTTTTCCTTCTCCTCCCATGTTTTTGTGTGGTTTTTGTTTCGTAATTCATATATAAACATATACAGAGTTATATTCTCACAAATATTTATACTATAGATTGCGAGGAGAAGATTATCGTTAAACGAAAACATATTCTACAACTAGTTTTTTTGAAATACTTCTTGATCCAATATCTCGATTGATAAGATGTTTAAATATAGTTTTTGATCTTTTGCTTTCTCACAAATTCTTCTGTTTAGAATTCTTAGTTAGATTTGTTCATCTCTCAAATATTTTCATAAAGCTTTTAATGGAATTTGTTGATAAATGTTACTAAGCTCACATTTAGCGTTCTTCACGTCTTGCTTTTTGTTTTACTCTGACCAGGTACAATGCTTTAAGATTGTCCATTTCATTCCAGTTTTGATCATTATCTTTAAAACTATATGCTAAATTAGAAGTCATAGATCTTTAATATTTTCGTTACAATTATAATATATTTTAATTAATTGAGTTTAGTAGGATAAAATTGTCTGTGTTTGATTAGATAGTGCCCGGTGGCGGGGGAGATGAAAATTGTATTGGAAGATTTTCAGGTGCATGTGGTGCTGAAATTCGAGACGTCTGATTGGAATCAATGCTGATAGATGGAGGGTCCGGATTGGCAGGTGGGGTAGAGGTGTAAGATATGTCTGTACTGCGGCATGCAGCAGATTGAAGCAGTAATGGCCTTTTGTTTTTGGGCATTTGTCTTTTGCTTTGTTTTGCTTTGTCCTCTCCTTCACAACTAAAGCTAACGCCCAGTCTAGCGGTGACAGAGATTACTCTTTCCTATTATTGGATTCTCCCCCATCTCTCCCTTCCCTCTTAGACATTTTTAATGGATAGTTTCTATATTTTCGAGCTTATGAGAAAGTATCTCGTTAGCAAGAGTTAGGCCAAACTCGAGCTATAGAAGAAAATATCATGTTAGAGAGAGTCGAGACCAAAATTGAGGTCCTCGTTAAGCGAAACTGAGGACATACAACAAAGAATAGAGCATTCTCTATCTTGAGATGGACTTTTCCTACCATTACTTGACAAATTTGAAGATCTTCGTGACCAAATTTTCCTGTTCAATATCTTGCTTATCCGACATGGCATGAATCACCGAACCTGCACTCAAAAATAGTAATCTTTGAAAAACGCATTCGAGCTAATGATAGAGAAAGAACACTTTACGACCACCTCGTACTATAACCAACCTCACCAATTTCACATTAGAAGTATATTGATTTTCGCTCAATAACTAAATAATTTTGTTGGTAAAGATGCATATTCATAAATTTTATATTTAATTATTTAAAAAAAAATAGACTTACAATAATATTGTTAACGTTGTATTGTTTTAATCTACAAATTATTGTAGTCTGCATGACTCTATAATGAAATTAAGTCATTAATAGAATTTGTTGCAACCAATTTAAATATAATTCAAGAACGTTTATACGTGAGGTATGAAAATTTGGAACTGGAGGTAAAATACGATAATTTTGAGCTTAGTTGAGGATTCTTTGAATATAATATAATTACCGCAGGAGCACATTTGGAAATTCGGAGCTCCTTCCGCCAGAACACAACGGAATCCGAGTTCAATTCCCTAGCCAACAATGATCCATCATCATCTTCCTGTCATCTTCTTCTGCTTTCAATTCCCTAAAAGCCAATACAGCTTGCAGCAGAAGGCGAAATTTTAGTTGGTTTTCGATGTTATTTCACATAGGATTCTTATCTTTTTGATTTGGCGCTGCGAAGAGTAGGAGCAGGTCCAGATCAAACTACGAAAAATGAGCTTGTCTTCTTGGTTTCGACGGAGACTTTTGAGGCAAATCGACCAGTTTACCGAAAGTTCGATTCCCTTGCGGAAATCCGATGGAGAGAAGGAAGAGCAATTCCATGGAGTCACAGAGGGGTTGATCGAATTTGTTAAGTCCTTCACCATTGAAACCTTCAAGAACTTTCCTCTTCAAGGTATCTCGACGTTCCTTCTCTATAACCTTCAATTCCAGTAGGTTTTTAAGTTCTGTTGGATTCTTGGAGGTTTTTTTTTAACAGCTGAGGAGATTTCAGTTTTGATATCTTTGTTTTAGTTTATTGCTCGATTTGATTCTCAACTTGGATTTGTGTTCAGATGAAGGGGAAGCACTTTGTGGTGATCAAAATCTCTCGGATTGGCAGGAGCGACATGCTGTTCTTGTGCTGTCTAAAGTCAAGGTTCGTTTCTTGGTATTCATGTACAAATGATTTCGAACCTGTTCAAATAGAACCCTAATGTGGTTGGGCTATATAATTGTGAAGCCTATCAAAATTCAACTGTCAATTCTTTTCTCATTTTGAAGGAAATTTCCCAACTCAGATATAAGCTTTGCCCTGGACATTTGAAGGAACACCAATTCTGGAAAATATATTTTGCCCTTGTCAAGAGCCTTGTGGTTGAGTAAGTCCTATTGTTTCCATTATATTATATGATCCAAGTAGTCGTTTTGTGGTTCTCAAGGCATGTTTGTTCGCCCATGTGTGAAAGTTCACAGAGTTTCAATCTTTTTTTCCATTTTCTTGTAGAATCTTTTAGGTTTTAGGCTTAGTTTCTGTCGATCTTGTATGAAAATATAATTTGTTTTCATCTTGTTTTGCCTGCAACGACTTTCTGTGACATAAAAGATATGTGTTCTTGTGTAAATACTTGTTTGTAGTTTTTGAGCAGCTGATTCAGTAAAATGTTTGGAAGTTTGTTCTGCATCACTAGAAGGTCATACCTCCTTTTTGTTGCTTTTAGAAAAGGATATTATTTTAGAAAGAAGAGTTTATCTTTTAAGATGTTTGGTTATTTAGTTATTAACTTTCTGTGAATAGTAGAGAAATCAGAGATGTGTTCATTAGTTTGTTCATAGGGCTCATTCCAATGTGCAAACACTTGTCTTGTTTACCGTTCCTCCAAGATGGTATTCGAACCATTTCTTTTCTATTCATGTCAGCATTTCGAATAGAGGTTATTATGTTAGCAATAGTGTCCTTACCCATGATAAACGAAAATTTGGTTCAGAGCTATAGCTTGAACTTGTTTGTGCATCAACAGAAGTCGTACTGCTACCTCCCTCCCCTATCTATCAGACATCATGTATGTATATAGCCATGTCAGAGGAAGGAGAGGACATCCAGAGTTAGTTTAACTATAATACAAGGAGAATAAGGATGCCTCGTGAGTAAAGTTGTTATTGTTGGACCTATTGGGTCCATGAGGGGAGCAAGTAGAATGTTGGACCATGTTTTGTAAATGTTGTAGTTATGGAATGAGGTAGCACATAAATGATACGACGAGTACAAAGTCAAAGCCACATTCCTCTTAAAAGCATGTTTTTCTTTTGTATTTGATTTCTTTTTCCTGTTCCATTCTACTTGATCCTATTTAACTAGTATTATAGCTTCATCTTGGATGCCCAAAGGGAGAAAAAATGGACACCAAAGTGCATATAGTGGAATCGAGATTGGAGGCAACTCAGGAATAGGTAAATAGGATTTCAATGTTAGAGTAGAGTTCATTGGAGGACATTTATCAGATTTTGCACTAGAAGGAATGGTGTTTAATGACGTAAAGGAAGGCACTACTAGATTAAGCTAGGGGGTGAAGGTCGGAAAATCTGGTGAGGTTCATTGAGATTTCAATCATGTGGAATTGATGAGGAGGGTGGATTTACTTCCATTTTTGTTTTCCTGGGACGGATTTTAATAGTTAGATATTTTGGGCATCCTGCAGCCATGAACTTAAACAGAGGAACTATAAAGCTGATTTTGGTGGTGATGCGAAAAATGCTGATGGACTTTGTAGCAAGTTTGAAGTCTGCCAATAGAACGAGTACCAGGTCTCTTGTGAGTTTTCAACTACCCTAACCTTCTCTCAAACTGTGGAAGATGGAACAGTCATTGGCCTCTGAAAGGTATGAAAATCCGGCTTTATGGAAATATGGTCCTTTCCAAAGTACTGAATGCATAGTGAGGGGAGGGTTACTCATAGTTATTGCTGCCACTAACCCCACCTCATCTTGATCTTAGTTTAAAGCTGGCCAAAGTGATCCCAGCCCATTACCATCACAGCTAAGCTCTACATTAGATCAATACTTTAATTCCGGATTCAGTTCTAGGAGACAGGTTAGAAGTTCTCATCCAATGTCTGGGTCAGTCACTTGAGGATGCAATCTGGGAACCTCATGAACTAGTACAGAATCAGAGTAGAAAGCAATCCACCTTCAAGACAAGGTGATAATTTGAACATGAGTATTGATAGGAAGTCAGCCCCCCATATGCTTTACCTAAACTAGCAGGAAAATCTTCGGCCAGCAAGTTTGTTTTTGTTGGGCGTATTGGCTTCTATGAGAGGAGACGACTGAGTTTGGGACAATGTTTTGCAATTATGTTTGTAACGGAATTGGGTATATGCGTCAAGAGTACGGTGTAGAATAGGATGCAAATTAACTATGGAACTTTCAAGGAAGCCACAAGCCTCTCACATGTCTCTTTTTTCCCTTTTCCTTGTGCAATAGACTCTTCCTTTTACCTTGAATTCTACCAGCATGTGTCGAGGAGAGCAAGCTGAGTTTGGGACCATGTTTTATAATTCACCTTTTTGATGCTTTAAAGATTCTAACTTTGCAAGGACCGCTTCCAATTATTGCTAATGCTACACACAGATTTCTGTTGTGTAATTTGTCAGGTAATTTAGCTCACTGGTTTCATAACGGATTACGCCAAAAGCTCGGTAGTTTATTTCCTCTTTCATGTACTGCCATTACTAGAACTTTGTGATGTTAAAACTGTAAGACAAAAAATTTCGAACAATTACATCGAATCTGTTTCCCTAAAACTTTTTGTTCGTTTAATCTTTATATTTGATGTTTCTGGTGTGCATAATAGAGGCGAACATCTCGTAAAGAATCTAATTTCTCCGGTCATACCTGCACTTATTTTCTTCTTCCTCTGGAATTTCCGAAGATACTGTCTTAAATTGCTCTCTACTTCTTTGCGCATTTAGCACAGAATTCAAGCTTTTGTTTGTATTGGCAGATATGAACTGCGTGCAATTCAACTTGATAAACTTAGGAGGATGGCTTTAGGGAATGAGGGATCTTCCAACTGCACTTCATCATATGAAGTTGAAATGGCAGAGACGAATACTGCATCACATTTAGCTCCTGTAGGGCCACTAACTCCATAAAACCAAAGCATGCATTTTGGTATTTCAGGCTTAACAAGTTTAACTGTTGCCCATACTCATGATCTGATTTACTAGCTGATGAAATATTGAACATGGTTTGATGCGTCCTTCTGAATCAACCAAAAAGTATCTTTAGAATTCCAACTGTGGCTGTACAAACCCAAGTTACAATAGAGACCAGAAAATCGTGATTGCATGACTTTAATACAGCTTTCCAAGAACATTTATATGTGATTGCATGAGTTTAATATAGTTTTCCAAGAGTACTTAATATGTGATTGCTACACATTCTGAGAATCTGTTGAAGTTTTGTTGTGTTATCCGGGGACTTGGAGCATTTAATGTGTAACGAAAATGACAATTCCTTGCGTTGAACAGAATTGTACTAAGCGTAGAATGCAGAGCCGTGCAATGACCCACGTGAAACTGCTAAGCAATGCATCGAAGTAAGTGCATGGGGGGGACAAGTTTATATATAGTATTTGCATTTACATGACATATTATTTCATTTCATCTATCATTTCCTCTCTGCAAAGCTCCTCAGAATTTCTTCCAAATGAAGCCAAATAAGATGGCGTAAGAACCAGAAAGAGAAATCATGTTTTAGTTTCAGATAGGTTATGATTTATGAAGACGATGGGTGGTGAAGAAACTTCATTTATTTTACTAATTTCAAAGACAAACTAACCCAGATATGGACAACTGGAACAGTTGAGATAACATTACAAATGACGACGAGAGACGCTTTTATGTACTATCCACCATTCTTCCAAATGTCTCTTCTAACTAAATATGGATTAAAAGCTGGTTGGTTAGTATGAGATATGCCCCAACTTTGTGTTTGCTATAGAGAGCTAAACTCATCCTGTGACCCCAAAATGTGCTTCATAGAGACGAGACACTTGAGAATCGAGATCATAGCTAACTTAGGGAACCACTTGCACCCATTCATATCGTCCTTGGAGAGGCATTTCACTTGCAAAGTCGAAGTTATACCTGCAGAAACCCACACTCTAACCATGAATTTGATAGTCACTTTCTAATCCAATTATACATCACAAATAAATTCATTGGCTTACTTCTGAATAAACGTCGTTTGATGCCATAGCTCTTCTTGAGCAAAGAACTCCTCTATGTCATTTGCAGTAGGGATACTTTTAAGCAACTCCATCTCTACTCCTGAGTTGGTTGTATGTGAATTTGTCTCCATCCGGGTTGAGTATGATGTTTTGTTGGTTCTTAAATCTCTAACCAAGCTGCTATGTATTTTTTCTGCAGTTCCCCTACACAAGCATACCCTCAAATCATTGTACTTCAGAAGAGCTATAAAATACGCAAAAGGTACCAACTTGTAAAAGAAAAAAAGAACTCTTCTTAGCTCAATCAACTCAATTAACTAGTTCATGAGATTGCCTTTAAGAATACACTAATTGAACTCAGTTATTCTTTTTGTGTTATCAAACAGTGTCTACTTAATCTAAACCAAAACCAAAATTGAGAAAAGAACACACTACAGAGCATCGAATATCTTAAGGAATATGCCAGGTCTAATGGGACAAACTCTAATTTGGCTGGTAGTACAAAATATGGCATGAAATAGATCTATAAGTTATAACTTCTTGTCACCTACACGTTTCAAAAATCAAAATATGCCCAGGCCCAAAAATGACGACATATGCTGCAAAATTGTCGAAAGCTAATAACTATTGCAATCAGTATTCCCATAGGTAACTACCAACTTTATTTAATTCTTCCAATTTATTGCCAAAAAAGAAAACTCGCATTAAATTAATGCAAGCAGAACTCCATTTTGCCTCTTGAGTTTCAGCCCAAAAGCTGAGGTAGAAACCAGAAAATTGAACCATTAAGTCAACAAGAAGAATAATAATAATAAAGTTGTTCATGGCCAAGAAAAATTCAGGGATCTTGTCATCTAATGTAAAATAAATTAAATGGAATTAGCTTCATCACGACCATATAAATAATAAATAACTTCGTGACCCTCTATCTAAAATTTAATAATCTACCGACCATCTTAGTAACCAAATGTTCTAACGTGAAATAACAAATAATTTTCTCATGAGAATAATCGAGTTGTCCAAGCTGACTCGAACACTGACAAATATTTTAAAAAAACAGCCTATCCACTGAATATACCAACGAAACTCTTAAAAAGTCATATCTTACAGCATAACTAGCCTATCATGAAAGATACACTACAGCAACATATGGTAACAATGGAACGACAGGATGCGAAGTGGAAAGTGAAGTCACATATAGGGAAAAGGAACAGTACGAGAATAGTGATAGTCAAACAAGCAAACATGGCCACAGAGTGAGCCCATCCAGTTCAGTAGAAACCAATGCATCAATCCTATGAGCAAATAAATTGCCAAAGACATGTAAATAACAAAATAAGAAAAGGAAAAATCTGAGAAACCCATGAACTAGACAAATAGTTTTAACTAGTAACGAAGATCGCGACGAAATCGAGATTTGTCGGCAGTACGATAGCAATCAAAAAACAAAGGAAGAAATCACAGCCATTTTAAGCCATCACAAGCTAAAATTGAATTCAAACAACAACAATTCCAGAAAACCTTTCGAAACCGTACCTATTATCACCTCCAAAGTCCGGGCAGTTCTCGCCAAAATAATCCTCGAAATCCCTAGCATTTCCACTCCCTGTTTCCACACGAAGCTTCCTCTTCTCCGAACCCGAGTCCGCCAAATCCCGCTTCAACCGAGAATCATTAGAGGAACACTCACGACTCAAGCCATCTTCGCAACACTCGCCGTCCTGCTGCGCCTTATGCAGCTGCCGGAATACCGGAGGCTTTTCAAGTCGACGGTTGCGCAGCTGCAAGTAAGAAGAGGAAGATGCCGCCGCTCTAGGGCTCGAAACAGCGGCGGATTGAGAGAAGGATTTGTTGAGGCGCTGTAGAGCACGGGTTTTAGCAGCTCTAGTACGGAGTCCCGGAGAGGACTGCGGTGAGACCTCCATGACTGCAATGCCGCCTGTAAGCTTCGATTTCTTCATGTACTTTCCCATAAATCAATGTGTGTGTGAGACTGAGAATAGGGTTTTCTGGGTTTTCTTGGTTCCGTTCTGATGGAACAGAGGAGAGAGAGAGAAGGCGCGAAGCTGCAAATGGAAGAAGAGAGAGAAAGAGAGGGAAGTTTGTAGGAAAAGGACGAGAGAGAAAGAGACAGAGAGCGCGGGAGAAGTAAATAGGAAAAGTTAGGGTTGGGGATTGGGGGAACAGTTCACCTCTACTTATATATTTCTTTTTTTTTTTTAAAACAAAAACAAAATCAATCTTTAAATATTAAAAACAATATTAAAACTTATTAATTTTATAAAAAAAAATTATAATAAATTACTAACAAAATTATTTTTTAGATGAGTATTTTTATTAATTTAATTTTTTTTTTGTTCCATTTATAACAAGTTCACATACTTTCTCCTCCATTTCTCCATTTTTTTTCCGATCACTCTGCGATTCTTTCTTCTTCATGATCTGTTGAAGTTTCGATGTTTCTATGTTACGCGATTTGATTGTTGCATTTGTCTATCTCTATTGATTCTTTGTTCCACAGCCAAATTTGACATTTGGGCTCACTGAAATTGTGTTTAGATTTTGAAATTAGGAATTTAGTGTTTCTATACTGCGTTTGAACTCTCTAAGAACGTTACAGTTGAGTATGAGATTTGCCATTTTCATACTCCTTGATGGTTGCTCTGTTTTTAGACTACTAGAGGGTTGCATATGAAGTGTTCGATCTTTTTACGCAATGAAATGAACTTGTGTTTCATTCTAAATTTCTGATCCTTTACTTGGATTGCTTTGAACAGACTTCTTGGCTTCTGAAAATTTTCCTTTGGCAAGATGGCTGAGGTATGACATGGTTTTAGTTTCACTCCGAATTTTGGTTTGAAATATTGCTGTCTTTCTTTTGCATATGTCTGGTGTTCTGGCTCAAGCTCATCTCTCTTAAATTGATTTGACATGAGTGATATTTAGTTTGGTTTTAGTTGACCTTAGCTGTGGCTTAGCTCGACAATGAAACCGATTGAAGGCATATGGTGTGTTGAGATTATGATGATATGATATGATATCTTGTGCATGTCTGGTGTTATGACATGAGTGATATTTAATTTGTTTATAATTTTTGTTTGAAAAGTTTGCGTGATATTTCTGATTGTTAAATGATATCATTTTTTTATATATATATATCTGGATAATTCTTAGCTCTTTTGAGACATTGAACCTCCCTTCAATAGTCATCTATATATTAATTCTCTCCCAAATGAGAGTCAGCTTTTTCTTACGTTACTTCAACTCCTTCGTACTCAAATTCTTTTTAGACGAAAATGAGTTCAAGTTATGGTTGCTATCTATGATGAGTTACTTCGACGGCTAAATGTTATAGGGTCATATTATAGGGTCATATAGTTGTCTTTGAGACCCAAATTGGCCCAAACATTCACAAATATTAAAAAAAAAAAAAAAAAAAGTTCAAGTCGAGTCGGGATTCCTCTCAAGGTTTTAAAATGCGAATGCTAGGAAGAGGTTTCTACACCCTTATAATGAATGCTTTGTTCCCCTTTCCAACCGATATGGGATCTCACAATCCACCCCCTTCGGGACTCAACATCCTCGCTGACACACTACTCGGTGTCCACCCCCTTCGAGGCTCAATGTCCTAGCTGACACACTACCGATGTCTTACTTTGATACCATTTTTTGGATAATTCACACGAAATATCGTTGCACAATGCTCCTCTATTAAACAAATTTCTCTTCAAATAATATGGAACTTACCATTTATTCAAGAACTCATTTAGTTCATGTTTTTGCTAATAACTCTACTCAACACCCTGTATGATTCCCTAAGGCGTTTCAGTGTCTCCATCAAATTGATTCTATGATCCATGTAATGGAGACACACTGCCGTTGTAGTGTCTGACAATGAATTGAGTATTGTGGCGGTGGAATCCATCGTGGTTTTTCTGGATATACACCCTTTGCTCACCCATCCATGCCATTGATTTTGGCATTACGCACAACTGAGATTTCAGCATATTTGCAGGGGGCAGGGCAGCAGAAGTTGATGAAAGCCCGCTCAGGGATGCTTGAGCTGATATGAGATAAAATTAAAGGCATATTTGTTAGGAATCACGAATCTCCACTGTCTTACTTTGGAGTTGCCCAAAATGACTCGTACCACTAGAGATGTATTTCTTACTTGTAAACTCATGATTTCGATGCAGGACTTCTCTCCCAACAATCCTCAACCATATTTGCATCAATCGTGATGATTGGAAAGGTCCAATGTTGAATATCATCTTTTGTGCATAATAATGATATGTTTGTTCTTGATATCCAACTCTGCTGCTAGCTTTCAGTTCAATACACATAGATCCTTTTAAGATTTTGGTAGTGTTTCTAATTCAACTACTTTTTCATAGGGGCTTTGGAAGATCATTGGATGCCTTTAATGTGACTGTCTTATCAAATATTTGGATTATGCCTTTAATAGACCAATTTCTTTTCAAAAAGGAATTTTCCTCTTTTTTAAAAAAGAAAAAAAAATGTAATTATAATTAATTTTGTGGAATTATTGGTGTCCAAGTTGCTCTCTTGTTCATGATCCAATGTGTTGTCCATGAATCAAATCAGAACCCTGTTTTCATTATATTTTTTCTTGTTGGCCAATGCATGAATCTTATAGGTGAAATTTTGGAGATTAATTAAAAAACTTTTCAAGTATAATTAACGAAAAAAAAACATGAAATGCAATTATAAGGGTATGGGTCCTAAAAAATAATGATCCCTAAAGGGACCCCACTAGGATGGTGGTGGTAGACAATCATATTCCATATGTTTGTCCTTATCATTTTTAACCCGAACGTTTATTTCCACCGACTTTTCTAAGACTAAAAGTTGAAATCATAAAAAAGTAAATAAAAAATCAACCTAACTCGACCCAGTTTAGTAAATTTGCACTTTTTAAATTAGGCATGCCCTCTCCAGTAGAGTTAGGTATCAAGACATTAGATGGACTATCGACCAACACGTAGTGAAGGGTTGCCCAAATTTCTCGACCCAGTATCCTACACCTCGCGTTCATGATATCTCCATTCAGCTCGGCCTTAGAGACATGAGGATGCACTAATAACCAAGCACATAGTGAATGGTTGCTCAAGTTTTTCGACCCAATCTACATCTAGTGTTCATGATATCTATATTCAACTGTGTGTCTCGTAGACATGATCGAAGCACACCCAATATGCTTCTTCCATGACAGGCTCTAGTCTCGGGCATCTTCCATAAATTGCATAGATTAACAAACAAGGTATCGGTGGTAAACGTTAGATTCTTTTTCGGTCCCATTAGCTCCAATTAGCATCGTGTCTTTTTAACCCTTTTGTTTGTTTGCTTTATGTCGTTTGACAAAGTGAAAAGAAAGAAAAGACGATGATGATTTATTTGGCTAAGTGCCGAAAGGAAAAATAATCCACTTTTTCATGTTGGCCTCTTATGTAAGCTTTGTTTATTTTATTGTCCCCTCCCTTTTATTTATTTATATATTTATATATTTATAATTCCTCTATTTAAATAAAAAAAAAACAAAAAAAATAATGTCTTCATGTCCTAGATTTTAGGGATACGGCCCAAAACTAAAAGACAAATCAATTTTATAAATTTTAATCACATTTCTTAATTATTCATATTTTTTTAATTAAAAAATTATTTTTTTAAGAATATTATTTAAAAAATTCAGATTTAATCAAGATATGTTATAAAATATTAAAAAGAAAAAAAAAACTCAACTTTTTAAAAAAGAAACAAACTTTCCATTTAGTAATGATTCAATTTGTTTTTATTTTATAAAAGTAATTATTTTTGGCTCTTTGAAAAAAATATAAATTAATCTTAAATTTCATTAATTAATCAATAATTAGAATATATAATTAAAAACATTAGGATAAAAAATAGGAATTTCTTTGGTGGAAATTATATATTTAAAAAAAAAATAAAAAATGGGATTTTTTTATTATTAAATAAATCATTAGTTTAGGTTTATTCATTGTAAGAAAAAAGTTTAAATGGGTGTGAATGGTAATTAGTAAAAAGTATGAGGACCTGAGTGATATTATGAAATTCTTGATTGACAATAAAGAAACAAAAGATATCAAGTTTTACAGAGTTTGAAAATGGCTTCTAATCGTCAAGCGAAATAACGACCTTTTCCCGCTCTTTCTGTTCTTATTTTGTTTCTTTGATCGCACAGTTTCGAATGGATTTTGACTTTTCCGTCCAGAGGTTGCTGATTTTCTTCCCCCTTTATCGCGCTTGTTTGCCTGCTCAAACAGGGCAGACATGATCACAGGGGGAGGAAAAAGGAAGAACCCCAGAAAGAAGGCATGAAATTAGTGAATTTAGTAAGGTTTGATGGGATTTCAAACAGTTTTGGCGTGTTAATCAAATCATTGTCCCACCCATAAGGCCCCATTGCCTTTGGACAATTGCAATCCAGTGATTTTCAAGAATGCACGCCAACTGTTCGACGAAAATGGCCAAAGAGGAGTTTCTTCAACTTTCTCCCATTGGATCTCTTTACTCCCTTTGTTTCCCAAACCCCACCATCCTTTTCTCCCTACTGACCTCCACTTTGCTCACCCTTGCAACATGCTGCAGCTCCAGCAACAGATGTCTCTTGCCAAGTCGGTGCGCCACCGATGCAACGAATGGTTCGTTTGTTTGTTGTCTTTGATGATCTTTTGGCTTGTGTTCTTGTCATTAATCTGCTCTTGAATTCATGTTAGTTTAGTTTTTGTGCAGTTCTATGTACTAGTTGTGGTGTAATGCTGCCGTTTGGTCATTGTTCTTTTTTACTTTCTGGCATTCTAGCTGTGCAAGATCTCTGCCGTTTGGTCTAGATGGTTTGTTCTAATTGCCAACACAACATTAGGATCGTCCCCTTCATTCTATGTCGACTCCGGCCCCAAGCTGGCTGTGCCATGAATTTTGAATGTTTTGATGAGTCGATCTTGTCGTGCTGGTTTTCGGTCGAGCTGGAGTTTTTCGTGCAAGCTCGTTCTTTCCTGTTTTGGATTGGTGTATCGTTTGGCTGGTTCTTAGTGTTTCAAAATGATCTATACGCTTCTCTGATTGACAGTATTTTGGTTTAGCAATGTTCTTTACTTTAGTGGATTGAAGTATCTGGATGGAAATTGATGGTGATTATCATTCTCGTTGAGTACAAATATTTCTTCTTGTGAATCATTGGCTACTGATTCGTGTAGGATTTTTCATGATATTCCAAGCGATATTACGATTGACGTGGCTGGAGTGACATTCTCCTTGCATAAGGTGACACTAACAACTTGAGCTCCAACTTGATAAAGATTTCGTTTTTAGTTTTCTTAAATAAACATTTGAATTCTTCATCAAATTTCTGTCATGAATACGTTCCCATTGAATATCTTGAGCACGTTCCCAATGAATATCTGGTTTAATTGAACTACTAAATGCAGTTCCCTCTCGTCTCTCGAAGTGGGCGAATTCGGAGATTAGTTGCAGAACATAGAGACTCTGATATCTCCAAGGTGGAGCTTCTCAATCTACCAGGAGGCGCTGAATCTTTCGAATTGGCAGCAAAATTCTGTTATGGGATCAACTTCGAAATTACTCCAGGAAATGTTGCACAGCTATGTTGCGTTTCCGATTATCTTGAAATGACTGAAGAGTTCTCAAAGGATAATCTCGGTTCGCGAGCTGAAGAGTATCTCGAGAGCGTTGTCTCGAAGAACCTTGAAATGTGTGTTGAAGTGTTGCAGCAATATGAGAATTTACTCCCTCTCGCCAATGATGTAAGAGCAGTTAGCCGTTGCATTGATGCAATAGCATCAAAGGCTTGTTCAGAGCAAATCGCTTCAAGCTTCTCACGCTTGGAGTATAGCAGTTCAGGGAGACTTCACATGAGCAAGCAGGCCGCCAAGTGTGATAGTGACTGGTGGATCGAAGATATCTCGGTGCTTCGTGTTGACTTGTATGAACGAGTCATTACAGCCATGAAGTGTCGAGGGGTTCGTCCCGAGAGCATAGCTGCATCCCTGATGAATTATGCTCAAAGGGAGTTAACAAAGAAATCCACCTTATGGAACCCATCTGGGCAGACAAAAGTTGATATCATTTCAGGTTCAAATGGACAAGAAAAGCTTGTTGTTGAGACAATTGTCAGTCTTTTGCCTGTTGAAAAGTCCGTCGTTCCAATCAGTTTCCTTTTCGGGCTTCTGAGGAGTGCTGTGACGCTTGATTGCTCTGTTGCCTTCCGACTCGACCTCGAGAGAAGGATCGGATCTCAGCTGGACATTGCTACTCTTGATGACCTTCTGATTCCATCCTTCCAAAACTCAGCTGATACTTTATTTGACGTTGACACGGTTCATAGGATTTTGGTAAACTTCTCTCAACAAGATGATAGCCAGGACGATATGGAAGACGCTTCTGTTTTCGATTCGGATAGTCCTTGTTCGCCATCTCAAAGTTCATTGTTTAAAGTATCCAAACTAGTGGACAACTACCTTGCTGAAATTGCACCTGATGCAAACCTTAACCTTTCCAAGTTCATGCTCATTGCAGATTCCTTACCTTCACATGCACGTACCATCCACGATGGTTTATATCGAGCCATCGATATCTATCTTAAAGTACGTATGTGCATTTCGTATGTTCTAAGACATTTTCATTTTGATTGATTGACTTATTGTTGCTTTACCACAGGCTCATCAAGGTCTATCAGATTTAGACAAGAAGAAGCTCTGCAAACTAATCGATTTTCAAAAGCTCTCACAAGAGGCTGGTGCTCATGCTGCTCAAAATGAGCGTCTTCCCCTCCAATGCATGGTTCAAGTCCTGTATTTTGAGCAACTAAGGCTTCGTACTGCACTATCGAACTCTTGCGACGATGAAGACTACAAACCTTCACATCAATCATGGCGGATTAGCAGTGGTGCATTCAGTGCAGCAATGTCTCCACGAGACAATTATGCATCACTGAGACGAGAAAATCGTGAACTAAAACTTGAACTCGCTCGCCTACGGATGAGATTGAATGATCTCGAAAAAGAACATGTTTGTATGAGGAGGGACATGCAGAAGTCTAGTTCTCATAAACTTGTGAGTTCTTTCTCGAGAAAATTTAGTAAAATGAACTTCTTTGGGCATAGCTCTTCGAGGGGTTCGAGTTCCCCATCGAAACATTCGCAGAGGACGGTTTCTAAAGTGATTGAAAGAACATGTACAAGTGCAGAATAGTTCCAATTTACATCACACAGTACAATGCAGAGTCCCTTTTCTTTGTTGAACAAATGCAAGTTCTTTTCTTCTCTCTTTGGAGAATAATTCAGTCTACATGTAATTCGTAAATGAATAACATTGCCAAGAACTACTCTTTATTGATAATGTTTTTGGTAAGTAAACATTATATCACAGAGGAAGTTGAAACATTTTTCAGCGGCATCATATAACAAGTTTCAAGCATAGTACACTCATTGGAACAAAATATACCAATTTTTTTAAAAAAAATGGATATAGTTTCAGTGTTCATGTTGTTTTGGTATAGAGATGGACGCCAAAAGCCAATGCCAAAATTACCAGGGGAGCTAGAAACTGGAGGACCTTGATAATGAACTCTGGTGTCTTGTCTTGGTTGTATAGGGGCTGCTTTGGAGGAGTGTACTTCCTTTTTGTAGGGATAGTTGAGCTATCGATGTCACCGATGTAAAATTCTTCCATCATCGCTCGAGCAGCGCTACTGTGCCCGACATCGAAAAAATCGTTGGTTGCATCCTTACCTGTAGATGAGATGATATGAAGAACCAACATTGGTATCTCAAACATTATGATCAGTTCATTTGACAAAGCTTATTAAGAATATATTTCAATGAAAAATTTTCGTTGCTTGTTTTTCCCTACCAATGGCTGACAACAAGACTTCATCACCACCAGGATGGTCTTCAAGGAACTTTGTTACATCGTACACCTGTTGGACCAATAACACACAGAATTGAAAAACAATTAGGAATGAAGAGAGAGAGAGGGAACATAGAGATTGCACATCGATTAGAGAGAAGAACGAAACATTTTTTTATAAGGGCGTGGAAACGTCTCTTTTAAAAAGTTCAAGGGAGAAACTAAAAAAGGACAATATACGCTAGCGATGAACTTGGACTGTTACAATGGTATCAGAGCCAGCACCGGACAATATGCCAGCAAGGAGGTTGAGCCCCAAAGGGGATGGACACGAAGCGGTGTGCCAACAAGGACGCTAGACCGCAAAAGGGAGTGAATTGGAGGGTCCCACATCTTTCGGAGAAGGAAACGAGTGCCAGTGAACATGCTGCACCTCGAAGGGAAATGAATTATGAGATCTCACGTCGGTTGAGGAGGAAAATGAAAAATTCTTTATAAGGGTATGGAAACCTCTCCCTAGTAGGCACGTTTTAAAAATCTTGAAGGAAAAGCTCAAAGATGACAATATATGCTAGCGGTCGACTAAAGCTATTACGGGTACTCCTATCCAAACAATAAAAATAAAAGAATCGGATCTAGTAGAGAAAAGTACATGTCCTAAATGTTAAAAAAACATGTAATTTTGTTTGCTTGAACAGATAAATAAATTACAAATTCAGTGACAAATCGTTTACATACACCAAACTTCGATTCGTAAGCCCAATTCAGATCAAACAATACACAGAAGAGCACTAGTTCCATCCATGAAACTCAATCAGTCAAAGCAAATAGACTCAATGAATCTTTAACACTTCAGCAACGTCAAATCATATTTTCTATAGATTTCATCCTTAACCAAATTCCAAAAACAAGAACTATTTTTTTAGTCTGCGAAAAAAGTAAACACAAAACAAGAAGTATTTATATGCATAAATTTCAAGATCAAACAGAAAATGAAAGCCATGTAAAGAATTTGAAACCACATTGAGCCACAGAGACAAATGATCAAATACCTTGTCCTCAATGATCAACCAGCAGTCGTTGCGGTTGTCGTGGGAGGCAACCTCAGCCAAAGTGAACACGGTGCTACCAACCATCGTCGCAGCTTGGAAGAGGGAGAGAGATAGAGATAGAGATAAGAGAAGTTTGTGTAATCTGGCAGTGGCAGACAATTCTTTCCTGTTTTCCTCTTGCACCAAAAGGGCTCTGTTTCTTGAGGTTTTGAAGGGAAGTGGAAAGTGGGGTTGTTGTGATCATGAATCTTAACATTGATTTTATTCCCTATTGAGCGATGGGTAGGTAAGAGGCTGATACAATGCCATTCTCATACCAACCATTCCTCTCTTTTTTCTTCCTTTATTTGCTTCTTAAGTTTTCAAACTGTGCTTACCCACAATTCAAAACTATTTTACTCCCACTTTCCAATCCAATCCTATCGCTAGTAGATATTATCCGTTTTAGCCCGTTATGTATGGCTGTCAATCTCACGGTTCTAAAACGCATCTACTAGGGAGAGGTTTCCACCCCCTCATACGAAAGGATTCATTCTCCTCCCCAACCAATGTGGGATCTCACAATCCACCCCTCTTGGGGCCAGCGTCCTCACTAGCACACCACCCGGTGTAATTTTGATACAATTTATAATAGCTCAAGCTCGCCGCTAGTAGATATTGTCTACTTTGGCCCATTAAGTATCGTCATCAACCTCATGATTTTCAAACGTGTCTGTTGGGGAGAGGTTTCCACACTCTTATAAAGAATGCTTTGTTCCCCTCTCCCACAGCCAACGTGGATCTTACAATTAACCTTTCATTAAGGTTTCAAAACTATTTTTGAAGTAGAAATCCATTAGAATATTGAACAAAAAATTCGTTTTCCTTCAACATTCTAACAGCATTTCTACTCCAAAAATAGTTTTAAACCTTTATAAAGAAGGAAAGTTATTCAAATTGATATTGATATCAAACATTGAAACTCCATTGAATTCAATGATATTTTCAACCCAAACCAAGCCCACCAACCTAGTGGGGTAGTGAATGTGGGTGTCTTAAACAAATGTTAGGCTTCCTAGCCTTTGCCAGTATAGATTAATAGAATTTAATTTATGATTCAAATAACATGCCATAAAGTATAACCGTTGGCAACCTATAAATCATTTCTTAATCTCACTTATTTACTAAATAATACTAAACTTTTCAATAACTAATGAATTCATATCATAGTTAATGATATATTAACAATGGTAAATTTTTAAATTTGCACTTAAATTTTGAAAATACAATGAAAAATATGGTAATAAATAATAATAAAATAAAATAAAAACTAGAAGTAGCTTTTCCCCTCAAGACTTCAAACAGTGGGAAGGTTTCCACACCCTTATAAATCAAGGGTTGTTTGTTCTCCTTCCCAACCGTACATCACAATCCACTCCTTTCGAGGTTCAGTGTCCTCCTTGGCACTCTTTCCTTCCTTCAATTGACATGAGACCGCCCCCAAATCCACCCCTTTGGGGCCAGCGTCCTTACTGGCACACAACCTCGTGTCTACCCCTTCGGGGAACAGCGAGAAGGTTGGCACATCGTCCGGTGTCTGACTTTGATACTATTTGTAACGACCCAGATCTACTGCTAGCAGATATTATCCTCTTTAGACTTTCTCTTCCGGGCTTCCCTCAAGGTTTTAAAATGGGTTTGGAGGGGAAGGTTTACACACGGTGGTTTGTTCTGCTCCCCAATCAACGTCTACATCACAAGAATATTGAAAATATATTTGTTCGATAGTTTTGAAAAAATAATAATTTAGAAAATAAAAAGTGGTGCTTTAAAAAAATAATAATAATAAATAAATAAAAGTAGTTGAATTAATTATATATATTTTTTTTCACGAACAAATTTGGAGGACCTCACAAGATTCCGAAAATTGAGACAGCCTCTCCTAACAAATTGCTTCCGTTCCACATTTGGAATTTAAATTCAGATTTTAATTTTTGAGGAAAATCATAAATAATGTATTCGATCCAAAAATAAGGAGAATTCAACGGAAAATACCTGAAGCTTTCTTCGTCTTCTTCCTTCGATTCGAGCTGGAACAATCAATCCAATCTCCATGTGTGTGTTGAAGCTTAATTTTGTTCTGTAATTACGATTTCCAGGGAAAATAAATGATCCATTGATTGTTCTGAAATCTGCATTCAATTCCAGTTCACATTACCTTCTTCTTTCTGTGATCTTCGAGCACGGAAGGTTGTTTCAATGCCGTTAGTTGAGGAGGGCCGTAGCCTCGCCGGCTATACACTCGATGACGTTTTGGCTAACAATAGATTTGGGCCGCCGGCCTCTGCAACTTCAAGGGCTGCCGAAATCCGAGGCCGAACCCTACTCGACGTGATCCGCGATGAGGAGCCAAACGCCGCCAAGGGGCTTTTCGGAAAGGACAAAAGGACATGGAAGTCTTTTAGGGAGAAACTCCGATTGAAGCGCGCCGGCTCTGCTTGGGTCTCCACAGTTCCTATTCCGACCTCCGATATGCCTTTTCAACCTAAGCGATCCCTAATGGGGAAGCGGAGTCAAGTCCGGTTCAACACGCCTTCGTCGCGAAACTCCACCGATCATTCCGCTCGTAATCCGTCTGAAGAATCCTCCAAATCCATTCGCCGTCAAGTATCTCGACAGAGTTCCACAATGAACAGCTCCAGCGATTCGACTCCGTTCCAATACGACGAGTCCTTTGATTATTCATCCATTCCGGATTCAGCGCCGAGTCGAATGAGACCGCAAATGTCGCGTCACAACTCAATCCGGATCCCAAATCCAACGGAGAACTACACCGATCCAACTGAATCAGATCGCGATAACCGAGTCCGACATATAAGCTCCGCCTTCTCGGAGCGGAGAATGATGTCCGCTAGAGAAACCGTAGCAGCACAAGAAGCAGCCGATGCAGCCGCCGCCGCCGCCGCAGCGGAAGCTGCAGAAGAAGAGAAAGAGAAAGAGAAAGAACAAAACGAAAACGAAGACGAAGATGAAAACGTAGAATCAACAACAGGATCGGAGGAAGGGGAGAAGGAGTCACCGACGTCGGAGCCGGTAAGGATGTCGTTGATGGATCTGTTGCACGAGACGGACAGAGAAATGGGGTTCGAAGGGTCGAATTACGGAATGGGGTTCGAAGAAGATGGCTTCTCCGATGAGGAAGACGTTGCATACGAAGAAGAAGATGAAGACGATGGTAGTGGCGGAGAATTCAGCTGCTGCGTTTGCATGGTGAAGCATAAGAACGCGCCAATGGCGGCATGCGGCCATACATTTTGCAGGCTCTGTTCGAAGGAGCTTATGGTTAGCCGCGGGAACTGTCCCACTTGCAACGATTTCATCTTGGAAATGCTCGAGGCTTTTTAATTCTTCTTCCTTACTACCAATTGTTTGAGGATTTTAATGTGTTTCTTTTTGCCCCCACAAAGATTAGTTCATGTAAAGGGAGAGTTTCAATCTTTTAATTCCCTAAGTGTATATGATTATCAATTTTTAATTTAATCTGTTTCATAAAGTTTCAAACATTTCAAGTCACTTAAGAGACTAGAAAATTGGGCATGTTCCATTCTCAACCATTTCTAGGATCATCCCGGACTATTTTTATGAGATATCACATCAGTGAGTGAGGAGTGAGGGGTTGAGAAGCACGTTTTAAAAATCGTGGGCTGACGCAATATGTAATCATAATGTGTAATCATAATGGGTCAAAGCAATAATATCTACCATTGGGCTTGAGCTATTGACATCATGCAGTAGGAAGATATTGGGCTCTCGAGGAGTAAATTGTGAGCACATCGGGTGATATGCCTTTAAGAGGATGGATTGTGAGATTTCATATAGGTTGAAGAGGGATCGAAGCATCATTCTCATTCCTTATGAGGGTGGAGAAAGGAACAAAATATTCCTTACAAGATGTAGAAACATAATATTCCTTACAAGATGTAATATTCCTTACAAGGTGTAGAAACAGAATATTCTTTACAAGGTGTAATATTCCTTAGGTGTAGAAACAGAATATTTCTTACAAGGTGTAGAAACCTCTCCTTGGGGGACTCGATATTCCTTACAAGGTATAGACTTACAAGGTGTAGAAACAGAATATTCCTTACAAGGTATAGAAACCTCTCCTTAGGGGACTCGTTAGAAAAGACAAAAGAATGTCGTAGACTTAGACTATTACGAGCCTAGAAAATTGGGTCAATGGTCTAAAAGTTGAAACAGTGTCCAAACTTCTTTATGAAGCATAGAAAGAAGAGTCAAGAAGACAAGCTCAGAGAGCAAGGCTTCTCAAGCACATCTTTTCACCTATTTTCTCTTTAACCAAGAGCCTGTAAGGCTGTAAGCCTGTGAGACAATAAGATCCTACTTGATTCTCATATTTCCACGGTCAACCAAACACAAAAGCAGGAAAAATAAAAAAGCTGACTGCAGTTTTCAAGCTTTCCACCAAAAGATTTTGATTACAGCAGAGTTCCACAAGGCATTAAGAATAAACATGACGATAAGGAGTGTTGTTTTCCAAATGACACGAACCTTATGGGTATCGAACTCGAACTTGAACTCGGACTTGGACCTACAAGAGTTCGCTTGGAGGCATAAACATTTTAATGAAGTTATATGATTAGGGATTCCATGGGCAACCCTAATGTTCCTACACATCTCTCCCTCTCTCTTTCTCTATACCAAAAATGAACATTAATCAGCTTCTGTACTGCTTACTACATGGCCATGACATTTTACAAGTCCCTCAAGGATGACCGAGGGGCAGCAAAAGGAACGTTTGGATAGTGAGAATTGTTATACATGGTTCGTTCAACCTCTGGTCCTCATGATTGTAATGCTGCCCTTTCCACCTTCAGTATGAATCTTGGTTTTACCGACGACGGGCTTACCGGAGAAGGCTGATGTTGGGTATGATTGAGATGGGTCTTCAGGTTGATGCTTCAGTTTTGAAGGTGGAGGCGTGCGGATCCGCTGGTTTATGTCCTTCAAGGTGACATCTCCATGGAATCCACAGGGTTTGATGAAGGCAAATGGGTAGGCAACTGAAGAAGCTAACTTAGTCGGAGTTCTAATATACGACTTTCGACCTGCACGTATAGGCAATGTGGGAACGTAAAGCAATGAACACGGTATATCAACATTGTAAAGAAACCTTCAAAAGGTCAAGAGCAGAATAGAACCTTTAAATATTATGTTCCGAGGAACTCGAGTAGGATGATGTTGGACTGCGTTAGATTTGAACTCAGGTGCAACATTACAAAACTCTACAAGTTCAAATTAACCACAGTCATCTTTCATAACGATATATAAACGAACACAAACCTTAACAACATTTTACTTTACCTGATACATCGATTTGATTGTCCGAAGTCCCAGCAAAGTTCCTGAGTTCCACATTATAAGGAATTCATATAATTGAAACTAATAATTAAAAAAAATGGATGCACACAAGGCACATACAAATCCTCAGGGCTGCAATGCATATCAGCATCATTAAGGCAATCAGCAATCCAACCTTCAGGTGAGTGATCCAAATTCTCAAGACAAGAAGTCGGCACATTAGCTAAGGCAAATATATAGAGATCAGACAAACCAAGAGGCAAACAAATACATTGATATACGATTTTTACATTAAGTAGTATCTTGCTCGAGACAAACCTGAGAGTCCAGAGCACTCGGGAATCTCGTATGGAACATCAGGGACAGCAGCAGGACTAGAAACATCCTTATTCTGAAAATAGAACAAAACAACGTTACAAATTTCACACAAATTATATAGTTTGGTTGCATGGTGTCACGGTCGTACTTTACAGAAAAGACACATGAGAAGCCTGCTTCGGAACATAGATATTTACATTCGTTAAGCTATTTAAAAAGACAAAGTAAACTCCTATCAGTGTTGTTCGTCATTAAACCTTGTCTGCCGAATATTAAAGATCGACATTTAGCTCCATGCAGCAAAATAATTGGCAAATACATAGGACGCAATAACATATAACTTGAAAAATTAACGCGTTCGACACAAGTCTTTCTGAATCCTTTGGTCATAATGTACACTTGCTTATCAAGAGAAGCAAGAATTGCATATGACTTACATGTGATTTTAGAAATCTAGAAGACAAATCTTCACAGCAGAGTGAAGTTTCTATATCTTGTGCCGTAAACTGTAACATCCGACGTCTCTTCGCTTGTGAATGAGTTTCCCTGGATTCTTCTGATTTCTTGTTCCTGTCATCTGAATATAAGTGTAAACGTCAGAAAAAACGATTTCCTTGGAGGTAACTGAGGGATTAGAGAAGGGTGTAATGTCCTTACCATTATGCGTGACATGGTATGCCAAGTCCCCGCAAGCTTTAACTGGAGTTGTTTCATCGAACACATATGAAAGATCGTCATTTTCAGACACCCCGTCCCAAAGGCATTCTGATATAAGTTCATGACAATGACAACAAAAGAGATAACAAGAATGAGCAAGCATAACACCAACAAGATTACATAATGCATAAAAAACAAAACAAACCAGAAACTACTCACCTAAATCGGTATCCTTCTGGATGGTATATCCATCTCCATCCCAATTCCAAGAATCACTGAAAAATTACACATTAAAGCAACAAGAATGTACGATTACGAAGATGCAGCACTTATACCAAAAGAGAAATGGGAAACAATTTGGTTCAATCTATTAGCACACTAAACCACGCTTCTTGAGGAGTAAGGGGAGGATTTTCTCAACAAATGAACAAAACAACAACCATTTATCTGACAAGGAAATGATTAAACAATTGGGATCCGAAAGAGGACAAAACCGCAAGAACACTAAAAACAACATAGCGAGTCATTAGCTCTGGATGTCCCAGTACATTGATGACAAAACAAGCCGTCAAACACACACACACATACACACAAACACAAAAGAAAACAGTAATGCAATGGCCACTACTTAAATTAGATCTAACAGCCGCACCATCATTCCCATTTCAACCACAAATTACCGATTACAGAGCAAGAAAATCATGGTAAATCAAAGAAACAACTCAATCCGACAACAAACTCCCAAAACTCCCCACACCAATCTGAAACAAAAACCCAAAGCAGCTTCCTCCAAATAAGAAATCAACAAGAAGTACTAGATCTTCCAGAAAAAACGCATTACAGCAAATCGCAAAAGAAAGCCCCAGAAAACAAAATCAATCACAGAAACAAACAGAAAGAGCAGAAGGTTGAGGGCGATGATTTTACTTGTTTTTGGCGGAATCGTCCATGGTTGCTAGAGAAAAAGAAGAGTGCCAGCGGCAAATTGTTCTTGACTGCGATCGAAAAAGATGCGATTGAAGAGCGACCCAGTTCAGCCGCTGGATGTTGGATTAGGGAGCTAGATAATGGGGGCTATAGACGAAGAAGAAGGAGAAAAAGTGCCCACTAACCAAGTAACTCGCAACCCAGCGCCTAAGTTCTCTTTTTATTTTCGGTAAAAATACATTTTTAGTATGTGACTTTTGACTATAATTTTCCACTTTTTTTTCAATTTAGTCCTTAAATTTTAAAATATTAACCTTTTTATCTTTAAATTTTAAGTTTATTTCATATTTAGCTAATACATCTTAAGATTTTACATTTTTACCATTACATTTAATATTTACTTTTCATCCTTTGTGTTAACTTTAATTATAAATTTAAACGTTATAGTCTATGTTTTTTCTAATTAATATTAACAGCGATAAAAATCAATTAAATAATAAACATTTAATATAAAGTGCGAAAATAAATATATAAAATTAAAAAAATTATGGAAAAAAAGTGTAAATATTTATAATTTAAGGACGCTAAAAAATAATAACTTATCCTCTTTTAATTTTAATTTTCTCCGCTTTCAAGGGGACAATGACAGAACGCTTTTACTTGCGGGTTGCATTTTTTTTTTTTTTTTTTTTACCATTCCACAAAAAAAAAATCGAAGTAAAAAATTCATGTAAAAACATGTTTATTTATCTTTTACCACCACCACCCGGGTAAATATTCTCTAAGTCAATTTAAAGTCTTTGGTTGTTTTTTTTTTTCTTTTAAAATATAGTATTTTAGGTGTGTGGACATAGATTTTAATTTTTAATCAATAAAATAATAATAATAATTTAGCTATTAAATTAAGTTATATTTTCAATAAAAATATACATTCATTTATATTTTGAAAATTTTGAATTAAATTTAATTAATATATAATTATTTGGCGTATTAAAATATAGTATAGACGGTCAACTTTAGTGTCTTTTATTTATTATCGGTAGGTTTGGTTTTTCTCTTTTTTCTTATTTTATTGCAATATATTTTAAAAAGGTTTGTTCTTTTAAAATATTTTTATAATTATTCCCACAAATTTGAGTATATTTACGTGGATAAGACACGAAATATTATTATTCTAAATAATATTTGATTTTTCACTAAAAATGTAAATAACAATTGTGGGCGATGCATTGACACGTGTACGGTGGGATCAAGAATTGAATAGTATCACGCCCTCATTGAATTGAGCCGTTGAGGCATTAAATTCTTTGGCCAATTGGAATCCGATAATAAGACAATTAAATAATATTTTATTTCCGAATATATTTATTAATGCTTCAAATTCCATTCTCCCTTCAAGGTTACTTTCCATGATTATTATTCCCACAAATTTTAATTTAATTTTGTTGGCCCCATTTTTTTTTTCTTTTTATTATTATTCCGAAAAATGAGTGGTACATTCAGACTACGTCAGTAAGTTCCTCATTTGAACACTTCCAATGAAAATGCAAGCTACGTCGGACGGTGTGCCAGCGAGGACGTTAGGCTTAGAGGTGGATTATGAGCTCTCACGTCGGTTGGAGAGGGTATTTTAAAATCGTGAGTTGATGACTATATATTTTATTCCAATAAATATAAATAAATGTAAAAAAATAAGTGGGCAATGGCTTTGACACGTGTACGGTGGGATGGGTAAGGCTAAGAATTGAACAGTATCACGCGCACATTGAATTGAGTCGTTGGGGCATTAAAGTCCTCGGCCAATTGGAATCCGGTAAGGGAAAAGTAAATAATTCTTTTTTTATTTCCGGGTGATATTTATTAAATTCCTGGGCCAATTGGAATCCCATAAAAATTTCAATTGGGCTTTATTATTGGGCCCATGTATTTGGGCTTGGGCTTTGTTTGCTTTGGACCCACTCCTTTGAACTTTGAATTTAACCCAAGTTGACTAAACTGAATCTAATTATGGTTAAGAGTCAAATACTATTTATAATTTAAGATTGGTCAACTTTTATTTCAAATTAAATTTGGGATGCATATTAATTTATATTTGTCGTTAATCTAAAAATAATGACGTGTTAATTCTAATTTTCAAGAAATTATAAGGGATTATCTAATAAAATAAAATAAAAATTTGTATGTTTGGAATAATAAACAAAATTCTCAAGTGACCAAGTTTAAGGGTATAATGGTAATAAATATAAATTTTTCTGAATAATTATGCAATTTTTTTTTTAAAAAAATAGGTATATTGAAAAATAACTTTACTACTTAATTCCGGTGTCACCCTCTTCTGTTTGATTTGTTTTTTTTTCATTAGTTAAATGGGTCGGGGACGAGAATTATATTAAAAAATAAAATTATATCATTTTAATATATATATATATATATAAATGGGAAAAAATAAATTGGAACCTGATTCATGAATTCTTTGAAAAATTGTTGCTTTCTCGGAGTAAAAAAAAATTGGTAATTTTACGAGAATATGGATTGAAATAAGAGGTGGAGATCGACGAGGATGCGTGCTTGCCTGGTAGATATCTATAACAAATTTTTACCCTTGTAATTTCACAAAGCTATTTTTGCAAAAAAAAAAGACAAAAATACAAATTTGAAAGCTATTTTTCAAAAGTGTATATATATAAACGCCATTTTCCGAATCCACCGCATACAGTAATGTTAATTTTGCGGTAAAAAGATAGATAAGAACCAACTCGATGCGTCGTGGGGAAAGGGGGTAACAACCGAAAACGGCAATCGGGAAGCTTCTCTGCTCCATTTTTTCCGACTTCTGAGGTTGCGGTTTCATCAATCTCAGCCCAGAAGGATTCTATTCAGAGCTCAGATTTTGAGATCGGCTTCCTATTCGCTTCATCAGACGAGATCTAATCCAAAAAGATGAATATCTTTCGATTAGCGGGTGATATGACTCACCTGGCTAGCGTTCTCGTCTTGCTCCTCAAGATCCACACCATCAAATCTTGTGCCGGTATGGATTTTACGCCCCTCGCGCCATTTTTCTGATGGAATTTTAGTCTTACCGTGTTATCTTTTGAAATCGTGGCCTTGAGACCGATTTTTGTTTTGTCTTCGTTGTTTTTTGTATCATTGTATTTGTACGCATTGGAGCTCGTGGATTGGATGTTTTGAGTATTTTGGATTTATGTTTTTGAAAAGATTTGTTCCACTTTGATGCATTGCATTGTTCGTTCTGGAGTAGAAACGTGTGAGAATGACCTAAAATTTGCAAAAGTGAAGTTTTTGCGTAAGTGATTATAGTCATAACACATTAATCATACACTGCTGATAGGTAAAGGCAATGAAGGTTTGGACCAAACAAACAATGTGGAATTTCTGTTGTGTTAGCATTTTGTCAGATTTGTTAAGGATATTGAAATCTCAATGTATTAGAGGCCATTTGTTCCTTTCGGGTTTCGAGACATGGTCTTTAACATGTATTATTTTATATGCTCTTCATTGGGCAGGTTTTTTGGCTGCAATTTCTTCGATGTAATTAATATGATTCACTTGATGCAGGCGTTTCTTTGAAGACTCAAGAGCTTTATGCAATTGTTTTTACAACCCGCTACTTGGATATCTTTACCGACTTCATATCTCTATATAATACGGTCATGAAGTTAATATTCTTGGGGAGTTCATATTCGATTGTTTGGTATATTAGACGTCACAAGATCGTTCGTCGGTCGTATGACAAGAACCAAGATACTTTCCGCCATATTTTCCTAATCTTACCTTGCGTTGTCTTGGCTCTACTTATCAATGAAAAGCTTACTTTCAAGGAGGTTAGCTATTTCTTCTGATTTGATTTTCATTGAAACTAAGAAAAAATGCAAAAGAAAGCAAGTCATAGTCATCATGTGTATGTCTATTTTTGAACTTTTGATTAAGGAATTGTTGCATTTCTTTCCTATATTGAACTCAATAAATGGCACAGGTCATGTGGACATTTTCTTTGTACCTGGAAGCTGTTGCCATCCTCCCCCAGCTCGTACTTCTACAACGAACAAAGAATATTGACAATTTGACTGGCCAATATGTGTTTCTTCTTGGGTATGATTTGACCACCAATAGCATTTAATTAGTACCATTGATGTGATAGTTCTTGAATCCACTGCTTAGTTTCCATCTGTTCTTATGTTGGCTATTTTCCTGTTTTTATATGTGTACCTCTTGTCTAGAATCATTACAGTGTGCCTGAATGTCGGCATCTCAATAAGTCTAACATCTATTGTGAGTCCAATCTCACGAATTAGTAATTTCATATTTTTTCCCCATTTTTGGGCATAGAAACTTGAATATTTTAGATAGTGTGCCGTTGAACATCAAGCAATTGGAAAAATAGAAAGTTGTAAGATATCATTGTTTGGAAATGATCTAGTTCTCTAATCAAGGAATTTATGAAGGCTTCTATACTCCTATTTGTATGATAAACTATACACCAGAGTTTGTGGAAAAATTAAGCTGTGCACTGTCTAAGTTGATAGTTTCTAAAGGTGTTGATTGATTCTCAATTGAACAAGAATCCATCTATATTTGCAAAATGGATAAAACTATATTCTTTTGCCTGTGTGATGGGTTTGTTCAATTTGGGTTACATTGGAGCCTAACAGAGAAGACTACCTTGTGAAAAGCTTCTTACTCTTTCATGAACATGTAATAGTCTCTATTAGATCATCTATTATCAACTTCTCTGACTCTGTTATGTCAACCTCAGAACCTTATGAACAAAAATCCTTACTGAATCCTAACTTTTCTTGATGCAGTGCATACCGAGCTTTATACATTATCAACTGGGTCTACCGATACTTCACAGAGCCTCACTTTGTCCACTGGATAAGTAAGTCAGCTCTTTCTTCCCCCCTCCCCAAGCTAATCCTGATTCAAGCGTTGATGTAGCGTTTAGTTCAATTTTTGGGGACAATATTCTGTTGAACCTTGCGGATGGCATTGTTTAATATGACACTGCTTGGGTGTTTGTTTTCATACTGAATTGTGTTTTGTTTTCCTCTTGAAATTTCATAACATTTTCCAAAGTATGGGTTTTCTTCTGCACTTATAATTAGAGAAAATGCAGATCCAAGTCAATCTGAAACTGATGCAGCTACCCGTTTAACTACATTTGGCATTCAGTTTAACTTAACTGGAATTTTGTTTCTTTGAAACTTCGAATAGAGGTTCCTGATACTGAAAATTAAGGGAAAAAAGGAAATTTTTTGTTATTTTAACCATAGTTTGATTTGACTTTTGACCACAATTCAGAATTTTCTTCCTCCAAATTCTACACCATACTCATTTTTGTTTTACTTGTTAACTTAGCTTTCAAGCAGTTGAATAATAATTTTCCTTGACTTCTTGCTATCCATTATGCTAAAATAGAAATAAAATCAGTTTTGGTTTGATGAGCCTGACATGTCGCAACATGTTTTAGTTGGTCATGATGAATATTGTAGTTGAATACCAAGTTGGGCTTTTTTTGTTTGTCAAAAAATTTGCGTGGATCATAGCCTTTAGTTCATGGATATATTATGAAAAGCTGTCGATATGGTGTGACATGTTCACAGAGACCTTGGCTAACTTCCTAACACACTTTGTGAAATTGCAGCTTGGATTTCTGGGCTCGTGCAGACGCTACTTTATGCAGACTTCTTCTACTATTATTTCCAGAGGTGACATAGATCTTTTGCTCAAAACATTCCTTGATTTGTTTTCTTAGTCATGTTACGATAACTCAAAATATTCCTATTGCACATCTGATATCTGCAGTTGGAAGAACAACCGAAAGCTCCAATTGCCAGCTTAAGAACTCGAAAGGGATGGAATATATATAAAGGAGAATTAACTTCATTTATGGCATTCAGTTGTATTTGTCTGTTCACATTTATCACAAAAAAATCCTGATCTTTCTTGAACCCCCCAACGCATGTTGTTCTATGTTTAGACGGTTTTTGAGAGTGCAGGTGCTTTTATTTCTACTAAATTCATAGAGAATACACCGTCTGTAAGCTTGTTTTTGTAAAGATTCTCAATCTCAACCCACGACCACATCTGAGTAATCTTTTGAAATTTTATGATGGCTTCAAGGGGTTTAGATATCCATTTTCGGTGTTATAATGAAATGTTTCTGTCGAACTTTATTCATAATTCGGATTTTTTTTTCTTGAAATGGAACTTTATGAAACACAAAATTCAGAGTTTTGAACGAGCGATCAGATGACTGGACGATAATAAGATTTAGATATCTAACTTCACTTTACACGACCCACAATCCTCGGTGTCTATGGAACGGACGAGGGTCGAGTAATTTGAAAATCCTCTGAATTTTTATGCTCATTTGAATTGTATTACTGATTGTGTTGAAGAGAGGTAATTCAATGGGAGTAAAAGTAGGAATTTCCATTTAAGAAGACATTGAAAAAGATGGGGAAATTGATGTTCTTAGACTCGCAAAAGGTACCTTTGAACAATGACAGTAATCAATAGAATCTCCCAGCTCCCATTTAATCACTCTCCAATCAATGAAACTCATAATCTGTTCCATTTAAGTGACAGATTATCCTGCAAAATTCCTCACTTCTTATACCCTCCTAACGTTTGATTTTGAAGATTTTGGTTGTCTTCGAGCAGGCGGTCGTACTCGAGAAGGAGATCTGCAGCTTGTTTCTGGAGAGAAGTAACATGGGCATCTGCAGTTTCAATCCTCTTATCTTTTTCTTCACATTCCTTCTTTAGTTTCTTCATTTTTTCTGATAAACTTGATATTTGTTCTCTCAGTTCCTTTATTTGCTTTGAACATTTCTCCTCTTTTTCTGCTAGCTCTCTCTTCTCCTTTTCTAACTTTTCTACTTCCTCTTTTGATGTTCCGATGTTCTCTCGTAATCCAATAAGCTTTTGAAAGTAATGGTGCATGCGATCGATTATGAACCCGAGGAATAAGGTAAAACCTGTAATAATATTATGACAACTTTCAATTTATTAGACACAAGATCGAAACTGAAACTAACCGTTAACGGATGATGAAAGAAATTGTAGAAGGTTGTATCTAGGAGGGTCCTAATTTTTATACATTCTTGGTTGTTCCATAAGATCTTGGAGGGATTAGGTTCGAGCAGGAAGATGGTATCAACATCTCGAAAAGATGGTCGAAGGATGTTGAAATAGTACCAATAAAGCCTTAGATCTATGGTTCGGGACGACTGTATGTAATAGCCCAAGTCCATCACAACTAGATAGATATCGTCCTCTTTGGACTTTCTCTTATGGCTACCCCTCAACGTTTTAAAATACGTCCACTGGGAAGAGGTTTCCACACCCTTAAAAGGAATGTTTCGTTCCCTTCTCTAACCGATATGGGATCTCACAATCCACCCACTTGAAGGCCCAGCATCCTCGTTAGCACACCGCCCAATGTCTAGCTCTAATACCATTTATAACCGTCCAAACCCACCGCTAGCAAATAGTGTCCTCTTTGGACTTTTCCTTCTGGGTTTTCCCTCAAGGTTTTAAAACATGTCCACTAGGGAGAGGTTTCAACACCCTTAAAAAGGAATGTTTCGTTCTTCTCTCCAACCGATGTGGGATCTCACACTCTATTTGCGAGGAGGCAGCCAGAATGTGTTCTACAATGTTGGATGTAAAAGAGAGAACATTTGGATCGATTTTGGAAGGTTCTTAGCATATTTGTTTGACTCAATACTAAGCTTACTCTAGACATTCAAATTTGGGTCGAGTTTGAATGATTTCTAGATGTTCTACCTCGCAGCCATATCAGAATTCAACAGACAACAATGAAAACTGACTTAAAAGAAAGCTGTTTATCTTCAAACCATAAGTATGTAGCAGGCCAGGCAATGGAAAACTGACTTAAAAACAAGAACACAGAGACAATAAACCAAACATATGAACCAAAGCAAACAAGTCTAAACAGCCAATGAACTGAGAAACATACCAATGAGAGAAGCCTCAAGCAATTGTGTCCTCCAAAGAACCTGATCCATGGGCGACATCGTCCCAAGCTTTGCACCTTTGTTCTGGATCTTAACAATGTTCATAAGACTGGACAAGAGAATGACAGACATAGTAGCAGCAATTGTTCTAACAGTTGCTGGACCCTTCCCCGTTTTCAGCTGATCTAAACTCTTAATCACAAACTCTCTGAGTAGCCCAATCTTTACCAGCAACAGAAATGCTACCACTCCCTCAGCAAAAAGAACCAAGAACAATAACTGAATCATCTTCGCTAGATCCACAAAAAAAGAAGAAGAAAAAAAACCCTAAATCCCTCAAAGGGTGTTCGATTTTCGATCTAATAAAGAGCAAATGAAAACAACTTTCCAAACCCCAGATTCATTTCCTATGAAGATGAACATAATGACAATCTATTGAAAACCCATAATCCATTTTTGCTATCTAATTCAAACTGACCGAGCTTGTTCTTCCCTTCGAGCTCAAAAATTCAGAAGGGAGGAGAAAAACAGCTGAAAGAAACTCGAACTTGTTGTAAGAAGTGAAGTAATTGGAAGTAAATTAGTAAAGGAGCTTACACCCAGAAAAGGAGGGAGATGAAAGGGCGCGGATCTGCACAATTTAGCCCAAGTGGGAAGAGGAAAGCGCCTTGTGGAGAAAGCCCATGTCTTACTTTTGGAGTATTTGGTGAAAAGGATTAGTGGGTTTTGGCTTTAGGTCTTGAATTTGAAGTGGGCATCATTTTTTTTTGCTCACAATGAAAAGGAATTGGGAGAAGTAAAGTGTGATGGGGAGAAAGAAAAAGAAAAAGCAAAAAATGGGTATTAGTTTATTCGAGGAAGAGGACACTCGAGAGGCGTAAAACGAGGTCATTTCATTCATTACAGACTCTGTAAGTTGGTTTAGTTACACACAATACCCGTTCGTGTATGCTCGATCGTTTGCAACTCTATCCGACTTGCCTCCACACTGGATCAAGTATCCAACTTGACCTTGCCTTAATGTACCTAAACGAAAGACATGTTGTCAACTTTTTACTACTGTTGGGCACTATGGCCTAAGCGAGCTATTTTGTGCAACATATGAGTGTCACAGTGAAATACTAGTCTCATAATTAACTCATACCTCCACATTCTCCGTCCTAATTGAGAATTTCCTTCCGGTTTTGACAGGTTTGAGATAAATAGAGATATCTATAATCGGGTTGATCTATGGTTCGATTCCTGCTAAGAACATTTTGGTGAATGATTTTCCTAAAAATAAATAGGAAATTTTAGAGGGATAGAGATTTTGAGCCACGTGTAATCTCTGTGGGAGAGGGTAGAGGAGACGAAGACTTCTACAGTTGCTGCTGCTCTGGTCTTTTTTTCATTTTCTGCTTTATTATTAACAATGGAGGTTCCTTCATCACGAAGCCAATTCTCTCTCTCTTTCTCTCTCTAGACTCATCGCTTCCGTATTCTCCTCTTCTTTCTCGGATTCCGGTGATCCTCTTCGCCGTGATTTCTCGTCGGAACTCGAGTCTGCTCGCAGTCCGGCAGTTTTTTCCCATTTCGAAGTAGTTCCCGCCGCCGCGCGCGTCTGACTCCGGTGGATAAACCACCATGGCTGTAAGCTTCCATTTCTCTTCTTTTGTTTATTTGAATGTTTCAGTGTGCGTTTTCTTTGTTATGTTCTGTTTGGCTGCTTGGAAAATATCCTGGTTAGTGTGAAAACAGAGAATGAGAATTCAAAATCTGCTTTCCGACTGGAACTAAACGAGTTGCGTTTTCTCATTTCATTTGCCCTAAAATGATGTGAGAGATCTAAATCAAATTTCAGGCTCTGTTGAATGGCGATGGAAATCGAGAAACGGTTATTGGAACCGAATAGTTTTTGAGGATTGAATCAATTTGGAGAACTGTTCAAAAGCTTTCTAGATGTTATTTAGTCTGAGCGATTTAAAAATGGTTTTCACTTTCATCGTTTTCATACGGACGAAATTATTGCTAGTTTTCAATGCTTTTTGCTTCTGTTTGTTCATATGCTAGTGGTGGGTGCCACTTTTTCTTGTAGAAAGGTTCAATCACGAACATCTGATTCACACTCAGAATTAAATTAATACTACTTTTGCCATTCTACTTAATCATTATAAGAAAGATGCATACATCCTTCCATATAAAACAATATCCTTGTACAGATGATAAACAAGTTGAGCGAGCTTATTTAGAATACATGTGGGGCTTTATTTTATTTTATTGAGCTCCCTTTTTGAGTATAGGGACATTCAAGTATTCTCTCAAACAATCATCTGTTCATTAATTCTTTCTAATTCTGCTTTATATTTTGAACTTTATGGAAAAGGTTTAGTCTCTGAATATGTGATTTTTGTCGAATTCTTAACAAATTCCTATAAACCAAGCTCAATTCTCCATCTTCTCAATGGCGTTTAAGTTTTTACATTGCCCATAACTTAGGGAAACACTAAAAAATCTCTGTTTCCTTTTTTGTTTTCATTTCACATTTGTTGTTTTATGATTGGACTCTTTATAATAGCTGTTTTGACATTTTGGTTCAAATTGCTAGATAGCGTAGATCCCATGAAGGCAAAGGAAAATCTGTTTGGATTAACGTTATGCATTTCATCTCTAGCCTTAGGCACTAATTATGGATGGAATTCTTTTGAGTGCCCCCCACTTTTTCAAAGAAATGAGCAATTTTCCAAACTTGTGAAGGAATGGAAACCTTCTTGTTTTTGCTGAAATTGTCAAAGTTGCCGTCTGTTCTTTTGGGATCAGTTGGTAAATATGGATATGGATGATATTGATTCTTATTCAAAGACTTATATTTGTGGTGCATCTTTTAGGTCAATGGTAGGTAATGATCATATATGGTTCATACATTAGAGCTATCTCAAGCACGTAGAAGTGAGGATTTAAAATCTTGAACATTTTGGTTGATAGTGTAGGTGAGATCCCACGTTGGTTGGTTGGTTGGGGAGGGTGAAACATTTTTTTATAAGAGTGTGGAAACCTCTCCCTACTAGATGCGTTCTAGAAACTTTGAGGAAAAATGACAATATGTTCTAGCGGTGGACTTGGGCTATTAGAGCATATGTCTGAACTAGAACTAGAACTAGATGAATTAATGTTCAAATTGACATAGCTATCTTTCTTTGTTCATAATCGATACGGAACTGAAATGGTTGCAAACTAACCAAAGGACAAAGAAGTTGCGGTTCCAAAATTTGGTGAATGGAACGACAGGGACGCCACACCGCCAGACAACTACACAGCTATTTTCACCAAGGTGCGGGAAGAGAGACAAGACCAGGGAGCAAGGACGCCGACGCTGCCACAGAACAGTAACATCCCAGATAACCAAAATAATGAACAAAATCAGAAGGTAATTGAAGAACTCTCTTCCATTTCTCAGCCAACCACGTGAGATTACTGAGATTTGATAATGCAAATGTCTTACATTCTTCTGTTCTTCCTCAAAATTTTCAGAAATGCTGTTGTTTTCCATGGCCAAGCAAATGATATTGTTCTTTGCATTTTCCACGTGAGATTACTTAGATTGCATGAACATGTGAGAATAATGTAGATTATTTCATGGATCTGGCTGCAGCTCACCTCCTTCAATGCCATCTGATTGAAAGTGTTTGTCTGTGGCCAAAGTTGTAAGCAAAGACAAAATTTGATTGTGTTGTTTGGGGTTTACAATTTTTTCTTATTTCGAGATTCATCTGTTGGATATCTATTCTTCATTTTAATAACTGTACTGTGATTTTGGTGTTATGTGTTCTTATTTAATGTTGTAATGTAATGTGTTCTTATTTAATGTTGTAATGTGTTCTTATTTAGTTACTATAATTTTAGAAAATTACAATTGTAAGTGATATTATTTTGCTAAGTATTTCAAAACATTTTTATTTTAAATTGAAGGTTTGTAGTTCTATGACAAAGAAATGCCTATTTGCTCAACATAATAGGACTCGTGTGGATTCGTCCCCAATAGGGCAACAAATAGGGGAAGGAGTAGGAGAAAATCGTCTTTGTTAGCTAAACGGGCTGGTATTATAATCACCATCGTTGTCTTTGATGGAGCAAAATCTACATTTTGAAAACAATTTTCTCATATATGTCTCGTTCTTTCAAAATTAAATAAGAAATTTGACAAGGAATAAAAAATACATGGTTGAGATGAGAAATGTATTTTAAACCATGTGTACATCTCTATGCCTTACACGATAAATTTGTTTTAAATTGACGTTATCACTGTCGACGTATATCTTGAAAAACTTTAGTTAACCACCTAATGATTGAATTGAGATTCGAAATATAAATATTATTTAATAACAATTAAATATAAATTCAAAATAAAAATAATTTAAATAAAATTTCTCAGAACAAAAACCACAAACTATATTCGCCGGAAAATGATCCGTCCAATGATTGGAAGGGGTTTTCAGATTTTCAAAAGCTAAACGGAGTTGGTGACTTAGGCACGTGCGAATTAAACTTACACGTGTAAACCAACGATTGGTCTTCAGAAGAAGACGTGGCGTGTTTCGGCCTCGGGGCTCTCCTTCGCAGAGTCCCTCAGTCTCGCAAGAACCCTGAAAGTTCCCCATTCTCCATTCCCCAATCCCCTTTATAATGGCTGTTTTGCTTTCCCTTTGATTTTTCCTTCCATCTCTCAACCCTTAGAACCCTAAAACTGATCATCCACACCCAAACTCATCCATCTAATCTAATCTAGTTTATCTATCTACCGCCAACGGATTTCAATATATATCTTATAATCTCTCGCCTTATATCTTCATCAATCGCTTATTTGAGGTATATCATCTTGAAATTGGACGGATTTTTTTTCTGGTATTTTAATTTATTGTGTTTTTTTTTTCTATTTAATTTGTTTTTGTGAATGCTTTGATCCATGTGGGTTTGAAGACTTGATGATTTGGTTTAGGATCGTGTATGTTTGTGTAGTTCGGAAAAACTATCTGGTGGAGTTTAGAAAGAGATTTTGACGATCGGTTTGAATTTTGTGGTTTATTATAAATCTTATGATTGATCCGAGGGCATGATGTATTTGAATCGGGGTGTTAGAATTGATTAGGAGGTTTGCTGCCACATTAGAGAATGTTTGGAGTAAAGCGTTTTTGTTGATTGGTGAAGATTTTTTCGTTGTCTTGGTTTCTGAGTTACAAACTTACAAGGATTTGTTTATTGTGTATTTTGCCCTCTGTGAATCTCCTGGTGGTTATTGCATGGACTTCACATCTATGGGCTGGTTGTTGGGAGTAAGTGTGATCAATAGTTATTCCAAGTTTTTGATTTGTGTGCCATGTTAGTGAATGATAACCGATGTTTTTTTTAGTGTTTTCTTGTTAATGATCTTGTATTTGAATGGTGGGTGTTGTGGTATTGGCTTTGTTGGAAGCTATCAGTTTCTATCTCAAAATTTCCTCTGTTCACTTTATCTGACATAAGTCGGGCTCTTATTAAGATTTTCAATATATTGAGGGCATGCATAGCAGGCTGTTGAGGAGCTCCAAAATTGATGAGTACTCAGGCAATGAGGGGAGGACATACCACAAGAGGTTATCATCGTAGGAAATCATTGGACTTGGACCTCAACATCATGCCACCAACCGAGAACCGAGATCAAGGGGAGGCATCTCAATTGGTGTTTCAGGAAGCACAAGTTAATCAACAACAGTCCGTACAACCTGCAATGATTGATGTTGAGGCCATTGATGATGATGTTATTGAATCATCCGCCACAGCATTTGCTGAAGTATGCTTCTTCTGGCTTCACTTTATTGTTTAATACTTATGATGCTTCTAGCCATATTATATTATTGTTCCATTGATCGACTCTGATCTGTATTTCATGAATTCGATTGATTATCTGTCAGGCTAAAAATAAATCCAGACGGAATGCTAGGAAGATTATAGTTGATGTGGATGCAGGTATAGTTATTTCAGCTGGTGGAGGACTATAGTTAGTTTTTTTGCTCTACTTTTTCTCCTTTATTAATTGGTGAAGAAATCTGTCTATTTTAAAGTTTTCTCCCTTCAATACAATTTTATTTATTTTCATTTTATTCTTTACTTAGTTTTTATAAATTCTCAAGGTATGTAGTGTGCTGCATGTTCATTATCAATATGAAAGGTAGCTTAGAAATTTGATGTATTAGAATATTGAACATTAGTATAATAATTAGGAAAGTAGTTCATTGGGATTGATGTTCCCAGAAGCAGCAATTAAAACAGCCTTTAGATTTGGTGATTCATATTCTCAAACATATCTGCAATACAATGATCTTAATTTAGACTATTTAAGGACTTAGACATCTCGAAACATTAAATACTCAGGAGCAAGAATATGTGAGGGCATAAAAACCTGTTCATTATTGAGATTTCTTCTAAAAATTAGCATCGATTACTAGTTAGATCCATCCTATCACTGATTTTTGGAATACCTTGCACTCCTGGCTAGAGCATGCAAGCAAGAGAAATGAATAGAAGAGAGATTTATATTCGATTCTCATTCATCCTTCCAAAATACACCATTACATCAAATTACCAATGCCCAGCTAATGATCATGATAGTTTTTATTTTTAGCTTGGTGATTTGTAACCACGGTCTACTATTGCTTGTCTTGATTTTCTATTAGTAAGCCACCATAATTCCGCCATTGCATACTCCTTTTGATATGACATGACTTTATGCGGCATGACATCATTTTCAATACGTACCTTCATAGCAGTTTAGTTAATAAGCTGTTGTGACCTTTAGCTAGCTTCTCTATTATTTGTATTTATGGTTGTATCATCTATGGACGGGTGTGTCCATCCAGATATCTTTTCAAGTCCCCCCCCCCCCCCACACCACTTGTTGTGATGCTCATCCTCTAATTGTTGCAGAAGAGTGGAGCCGGGTGTCAAATAATAACCGCATCAAGCGTAAGAGAGACGTGTCAAATCAACAAACTCTAAATTCTGTTTTATTGATCAATTTGGAAGGCAGCAATAGCTTTATGGTACTGGGACAATTTAATCTTTTGTTGTTACTCATATTTTTGTGCACTATTGCTCATCCTCTAATTGTTTGGCAGGGACTTTCTCATCCTTGTTCTTTAGGCTGTCCTATTTCTTTTGTTTATAATACAGCCTTCTTTTTCTTAAATCTTATAATAAAAATAATAATAATTAGAGTGTTGAAAATGGGATCATTTCTCTAGTGCTTAATCTTTAGCCAACTTGGGATTTCTGTCTTATTGGCAGAAAGAGAAGCCTGCTCCACCGAAGGAGCCCAAATTCAGTTGTCCAATATGCATGGGTCCGTTAGTAGAAGAAACGTCAACAAGGTGTGGTCATATTTTCTGCAAATCATGTATCAGGGCTGCAATAGCCGTCCAGAGCAAATGCCCATCCTGTAGGAAGAGAGTAACTGCCAAAGAACTCATCAGAGTGTTCCTTCCTGGGACGAGGTTGGAGTGAGGCTTACATGTAAGTAGCTTAATTGGCTTGCTACTTTATGCTTTTGTTCTCATGGATCAAAAGGGTTGCATATGCCTTATTTTCAATTTGCATTTTGGTTATTGGCCTAGTCCTGAGATTTCTTTCATAAATAACCGTGTTTCGTTGGTTAGGAGTGAGATTCTTTTATTTGTATTATAACTTGTGGTTTAGGATTGTTGTAATGGGATGTGTTTGATTAAAGGGACATTTGAATTAGCTGTATTTATGAAAAGTTTGAATATGGAGTACTTCAGAAAGTGGGTTTTGTATATAAGGGAGGTATATTATGAAATAAATCCTTCGAGCTTAGTTTTTCTATGCTTTCTTTTGTTCTTTAGTTTTATTCTCCATGGAAATAAAAGCTCAATTTCAAATCCTTCATAATGATTGTTAAGAATCACCACGCTCTTAGGACGACATGATGAATTGGAAACATAATATCGATGGCCGAGTGCAATCATCTGAACTTTATGTTCTAAATTGGTCTTTCAGTATGGTAAATTACATCGTGCAGGTATTCTTTTTAATAACTTCGAAGGAAAATCGTCGAAAGTTTTCTTGTAAGTAAGAAAAACTAATTTTTAGGTGGAAATCTCGGGTGCATTCTGCGGATGGCTGCTGCAGCTTGATGATCTCTGAGTTGCAATAGCAGGTAGCAGGAAATTTTGATTTCCATATTTTTTGGTCGATACTTTTGGTGGTTTTATGGAGTTGTAAACAAACCCGACACCGAAATACAATAGTATGCAATGAGATTACATAATTAAATCCAGAAAGTTGCTTTTATCATGGTCGACTTCAGGTTTAGACATGTATGTTATTCATATAATTTCATGCATCTAATGTGATCATTTATATATTGGCATCGCTTTGCATCCTTGTTGCAGTGCTTATTATACTTCTTGTTCTTGAAAGACAGGTTTGGGAACATATCATCTCTTGTTTGATTTGTCTGAGTTCCATATGTTCTTGTTTGCTTTTGGATCATGTTGGAGAAAGAAGATTTTCATTGAAAATTAGCATAGTTTTAAGGAAGATTTCCATTCCATTACATTGGCCTCACTTGCATACATCTAGTTGAGCACAATCCCATTAGTAAGACCAAGTTATAGTTCATAAACTTTTATTCCTAGAAACCATAAGCAATACTATGCTTATGGGGGGGGGGGGGGGGGGGTAA